GCACACGTGCCTGTTGCTCCTCAGCGAAGTATTGCTATAGGAAGTGAGTGATCAAATTCGCCACCAGCAGTCCACAAGCTAGCTCCGTGTCTATTCATTTTGTCCACCGTTTATTTTGTCCACCAATCATTTTGTCCACCAATCATTTTGTCCACCGTTCATTTTGTCCACCAATCATTTTGTCCACTATTCATTTTGTCCGCCGTACACTTCGTTCACGATAAAATTTGAAAAGTATGGTGTTTTTATTTTTTATAAGACAAAGCTAGTATGTATGAATTTGATAACCTCGCATAGTAAACCGATAAGTATCACGTACTATAAGAACGTGTACACACATTCATATCTATGATTTCAGTTTATATGGCAGATATTACATTCTTTTATTGCAAAATTCTGCGCCGTTGCTGCAACAATATCGAGTGCGGTAATGTACCTAATACTGCCGCTGTGTCTAGTTCAGACTACTTCTGCGCAGCTGTATATTCGAAATTCAGCGGTAAGCAAACGGTAAGCAAGCGACACGGATGAGTTCGATTTACAGTACATAAGCACATCTACGAGTAGCTGCTTACATCTTACGCCCAGACCGTTTCTGTTGTGTGTGTTATTGTAATTAATATTAAATTAATTTTGGTAAGTGGTAATACTGTATTTATTTATTAATAAATATAAAAAGCGTAGACCAAATGAATGGTGGACAAAATGATTGGTGGACAAAATGAACGGTGGACAAAATGAATGGTGGACAAAATGAACGGTGGACAAAATGAACGGTGGACAAAATGAATGGTGGACAAAATAATAGGACGCCGCTAGCTCTAGGGTAATGACCTGCAAATCCATCTTTTGTCCATCGGCCTCAGTTTCACTAGATGACCAATTAGTCGCTTCGTTTCCGCCGTCACATTCCAAGTTCCAACCTATGCTGCAGCAGAAGTGCCGCGCTGACGCGACGAGTGATATTAGTTACCAATGCTCCTGCCGGTACATGAGCTGGTGCAATACAAACAAACATACGAGTACAAACATACAACTTACAATACATACAGTAGATAGAATTCAACACATACATGATACAACACGAATACTACGAGTACATCATCTGAGCTGCCAGGAAACTGGTTCGCTGAACCGGTTCGGTGTCACGTTTTGCTGAAGTGTTTGATGGCATGCTTGATCCATGCTTGCGATAGCTGCGTCCGAGCGTAAAACACGTAAAACACCTGTGTACATAGCGGCAGATAAATGACAGGCAGTCAACGATCCACCCACTTGTAGTAAATACGATTCTTTAGTGCCCGGCGTTAGATGGGCATGTCTTTCAGCGAGGACATCTACATAACATTGAAGAAACAGTAGGATTAGGATAGTAGCATGGATCCCGAATCCCTACAGAAACAACTTCCCGAATGGATGGATCCCGAATCTTTCCAGAAACAGCGTCCCGAAAGGACTTCTGACCTTTTAGGCCAAATCGGTTGTACTGTGTACCGTGCCTACGTACTAGATATCAACTGCTCTACTATAGTTGATACATTAGTGCAGTTCCTATAAGTGTGGAATCCAGGATTTATAAATCCTTGTACTGTGTTTCACCGGTATTTGTGCGCTTAATTAATTTTATTATGATAAGTTAGTAATAATTATTAGCAAAAATGGAATGACTGATCTGGCACATTAGCCGCAGAAGTCCAACATTCATAATTTGGTTCGTTTTAAAAATCTCCAATTTAAAAAAAAACATTCGTTTTCAAATTCTACGAATGGCAGTCCGGTCGGATAGATCAACGCGGTAGCCCACTCTAAAAAAAGGATATAATTATAGGTCCTTCAATTGTGGTATAAACCATTTGCTACCCGTATAGAACACTAACAATATGAACAATATTACGCGTCACAGTAGTGCACTTTTAAAGTTTTAACCTACATTTGAAGAAATTTGTTCCCTGGGAGCGATGCGGTACTGCAAAACTTGACAAATCTTCAACGGTGTATGTAAATAAAAACTGCTTGTACAAGTGCGCGTGGTTGTAGCGTACAAATTTTCTTCAAGTGCAAGGTCAGAGGCTAGGACGGACGGTGGACTGGTGAATTGGTGGACCGGTGGACCTTTTATGGTACTCTAGTCTTCAGTTTTCATCCGAACTGAAAAAATTTCATCAGACTCGCATAACGAGCGTTGATCGATTTGCTACGGAACACACCGAAGCCAGCAGCTGTTGTAAAGCGCTGATGGAGATCCTTAACGGTCTGTCGGGATTGCAAGAGTCTGCTCCGCTGTGCGCAGTTTTATACTTACGAGACATAACTGGTCGAACTCCAGTGTGCCAGCCATTACACACTTTTCGCCTCGTATTCCCTCAACGCAGTAGGCTTTTATAGTCGTTACCGCAATGTAAAGTGCAATCAGCTCAAGGGTCACCACTTGTCAGTTGCCTGTGACTGCTGTGAGATTAGTAAATGTCAACTTGGCGGAACACGAAACTGAGGTACCTGGCGTTGGACATAATCGAAAATCATTTGCTTCGGTTGCCGCCACCGTTTGAACGCAAGATGGATCTTGAGGTTTTGCTTCCCGGCTAGTTTTTCAATGCGAGCGACAAAAACGCACCAGTCTCTGGTAAACGGTTCACCGCTTCTATTACAATGGTAGACGACTATTCAAGTAAAAAACCATCATTACAAACGTTCAGCATCTGTTTTTCCATCGCGTGGTGACGAGTTCCCAGAAACCCCGATGAGTATCGCTGCTGTGGTTGTTGAGAATGAAAAGCATCGTCGGGGCGTTTTCAGGAGGCGGCGATTCCGGGGAATCGGGTATCACGGGGAAGACGTCAAAGTCATTACGCAACGAACTAGTTAAACGGAACGTCTTTCAAACCGCTTTATGACGCGGTTGGAATTTACACTTGATACGCTGCTCGGGGCCGTGGCCATACGCTGGCCATTAATGATCATACGGCGCCTTCAGGGAATCCTAGAAAATTTGGTCGTTTTGGAGCAGAAATCACATGGTTGCCCGTGATCATGACGAGATTTTCCGGGAGAGAAACATTAACGAATGTTGCATGGTATCGCCATGTGTTCGCCTTTAGTTGCGGTCAGCTGGGTATAGTCGCTCCCGGCGAATACATGATTAATGGTACTGGCAGGAAGCAGGAGAATGAATGGTGCCATACAAAGATATGTATGTACGCGTCCGGTGTCTTTACGCTGCAAACTTTAGCATACGTTGCATAAAGGCGACCGAAATTAGTACACGTATACGAGACTAAGCTTTCTTATAAGTCATAACCGATCCATTCAGACCTGTCGAGGTTAGCTAGCGCTTTTCATGGATTTTCTTTACAAAATGATAATTGCAGTAACCAATAGCAGTTTTTCCTTTCCAACTGTAGAGATCAATGCAGACATTTGCGTAAGGTCTTCGGGCAATTCCATCCAGTTGACTCTCCAGAAAAAATCCAGTTTGGTTTTAAACGCGAAGCTAAAGGCAGTCCCTGGACTTGCCTGTTCCTGGTGGACCTCATACGTATCAAAAATGCTTGTCAAGACGCTAGTTTAAGAATCCCAAAGGTGCCAAAACTCTTTTCGTTTATACAGAACAAGATTATTTTTCGACTGGAAATCTTTAGCTCCGGCGTTGCCGCAATCTTGACACTTCAGCCTATAATACTGGGATTTCCTACACTCCTTTTACTACTATGTAGTGAATGCTTAAAACGCTTGTCCCTGCGTCCCTGATATCCTTTCAGTGGGAGCAAACCCTGCTACGTACCATTTACAACAGCGTCCAATATCTTCGAATTCCACGAATGGCAGATGAAGTGAATCATGTCCGCCGCGGTTTGAGACCCACAGTGGGGATGGAACGGCAACGGTAGTTTAATTTGCGAACAGACGGCGGTTGAGAGGCGTAGACATTTGAAGATGGGCGCCGTCAGGATGTAATGGACAATGGAGATCTCCCATATATGCTGATGCACCGGACTTCTTCGTCTCGATGACAGTTTTTGCCTTTCGACATGTGTGCGTCCAGACAAATAGTTCAACGCCGAGGAGACCGGCTTTCGTCAGTGTGTCCAAATGGGAAAACACTTCCTCTTACGGCCAATGTAGTAACTATTACCGGAACAGCCTAAAAGATCTATGCGAGTGATGGATTTTATACGAATCGGTTACGTTCGGAACGGTTCGGCCGTTCTTCTCCACGAAGCTGGTATCAGTGTCGTGCGACACCGGACTCACACGGTACTGCATGGCTGTGGCTGTTGTGTGACGCCAGTTAGGACTTTCCGGAACTGTTTCAACGTTAGCAGGCTTCCATACAAAAACGAAAGGTTTTTAAGATACTGTAATAATTCGATGACGGCAGAACAAGTCGTGTGTCGGAAGTCGCGATTTCTTTGTTACTGCTGTAACTAGAACTTTACTTGAGAGTGAGTAGAACCGGCCTCTGTCTTTTCGACGTTAATACGATAATTTTATAAATTTATCGTAGACTGAAATAATTAATTGTGGTAAAATTAGTAATCCCTACACTTCAATCGCCCCGCTGTATCCGTCGTATAGAACGGCAATGCACTGGATTCCGTATTCGGCAGCTCCGAAAACTGTCCACAACGGCAGTTTTGGTGTCTGCTCAAAAACGGAAACCGTTTGCTTTACACCTGCTTGCTATAAGTATATTCGTCATACTGATTAGCTTGTTTACTTATTTAGAATAATCAGTAAGTACAGAATACGGATGCATAATAATAAAACATTGGATATCGAAATCACTGTCTGCTTCCTTCATTAACGAGTATATGTATACCAAGTACGTGCGCAAGTATTTAACGAAAACTTTCGCAGATCATCTTCTAAGATTGAAAACGAGCTGCGGGTTAAAGTATTAAAGAAGAATACAGTGGGGTTCAACCTGACTCTATAGTTTTTCTGTTTTACGACTACTGAATATATAGCGCAGACGCGCCATGTACCGCGAGACACACTGTATTTTCAAATAGCTTGCGGATGAAAATGTTATTGCTCGTAAAGTTGTAATTCCGATAAGGGCAACAAACTCTCTTGTCTACGTACTCCGTATACTGTGTTTCACGTCAAATGGAAACCTTGTCGCAACGGTGTCCAATTTGCAGATACATAACGGCGTAAATTAATACAGTTAATGTGAAACTCGGCTATGTTGTATTCCCGATGTCTTGCTCCCGGCATCATCAGGCTGCTGTTGACCTTTCGTGTTCATGTAAACTGTTTCGGCCGGGGAATGGCCTCGCCGTCGGCGGGATTGATGGCGATCTCGTTGAGATTGACGGTAGGCGGGGCGTTCAGGACGAAGAGCACGGTGTCGGCGATGTCCTGCGGCGAGAGCGGCCGGTACTCGGCGTACAGCAGCTCCTTGACCTTGTCCGCTGGCATCTGCGGGAACATCTTCGTGGGAGCCTCGGTGTTCACCGGACCGGGAGACAGATGCTACAAACAGTAGTATCGGTTTAGAAGTATCAGAACTGAAGCAGAATGAAGAACATGTGCAGTTATTGATTGATGTTTATAGCATTGAAACTCACATAAAGTACGAGTATGTGTAAATTACATAAGAATACTAAGGATAGTCCGCTCTCGTTAATTTTCATAAGCGATTTATACCGTAACAAGGATCTTGCTCTTTTCCGCGTGTAGTTCCATTCGTAGACCTTCGGTCAGAGCGCGGACGGCATGCTTAGTGGCGGAGTAAAAGTGCATAATGGGTGCCGGCGGGACACGGTGACCTAGGCCGCTGATAGCGACAAATCAAGACAAATGTTGCTACCAACGGTGTTTATACAATCGCGGTAATTCGCCGGCTTTTAAAAAAGTATTTCATCGGCTGACGGGGATTTATGTATTTATCTCAACAAGCTTCTGAAACGTAGCTACAGAGATGCACGAATTACAAATGTATCTGTAAGTAATTATGCAATAAACTGTTATAATTATGCAGTTATTGCAACAAATATGGTTAATTATGCAATGATAATTGTAAAATAAGTGCTACTGGTAATGTGATAACTGGTACGTTGGTTAAACGTGAAATGGACATTTTTATGTACAATAGAAATAAGCACCTGCCGATGACGACGATATGACCATTTTCCCTGCCGGTTTTCCCCAGTAGTTTAGCCGATTCGCGTAAACAAATGGCTGTTCCCAGAACGTTAACCTGTGGAGATAGAAGCGCTTTATCGCAGACTTTTTCAGTACTCGTATATAGTTATTCTTATATAAAATTATGAGCATATTTTAAATTTAAGCTTATTTTTATAACGTTCATAATTTTGCTGTTATTAACTTATTATAGAACTAGTTTTTCGTCAGCGCAAATTATTATATGCGTTTCTGTGCTGACCTCCATCATCTCGCGCCAGATATTCGTATCACCACGCAGTATGGGTCCCGGCTGGGAACTTCCGGCATTGATGATACTGGCGTGGAGACAACCAAAATTCTGTTCAATGTGTTGAAACAGCTTTTCTAAATCCTCCTCACGCCGCTGATCGCACTGTACGGGAACAAATGTGCCCAACCCATCGGAAACTATCGTCTGTTCCAATGCCTGCAAATACGCATTTCCAAAAATTAGACCAGTTACCACTAACAGATTTCTTATGCATAACAGATTTAATAATACCAATACAGCTGATTCCAGATATTTTTATTTACAAATAACTAATACTAATGCACGCATATTAATGCAGTGCGCGCCCGTCACTGCGCGGCCATCCGCTACTCAGAGACAACAACAAAATGAAAAACTGAATTCTTGAAATCCAGGTCTTATAATTACATAATGCTCTTATAATGGTCTGAAGTTAATTGTTTTCCATTATACGTAAAAATTAAATAAAACATAGCATTACCTAATTGATTTTTATTTGGAGTTTTTGCAAACATCCCTAGCCCTTAATTTAAGCAAATTTCAAGTTATCCAGTTATACAGAGTAGGTATCACTCTCTAATAAAATTAAGGGCAAAACTGCAGAAATTAAAAACACAGAAAACAGTACAACCATCTAATTTTAATAGTTTTTTTATTTAGTGTAATCCGTTTAGAATAAAATGCACAGACCTTGAGATTGTCGATGCGGCGAGCGGACCCGATGACGGTCATACCGTGTCGGGCCAGTTCGCGGCACACCGTCTCCCGATGCCGGACGAAGCGCCGGTAACCAGTACAATCCGCCTATCCGGCATCTTTGCCACTTTGTCCATATGTTTTCTCTTCGCAGACAACTACAGCGTGGCAATCCAGCAACCCGTGATGCTGCGGCAAGGGGGTAGCTCGATGGGAGTGTTGGTGAAGAATAAAAAATTAATGCTTACGACGATAAGATAAAACCGGAACATCAATATTCTGCAGAGTGCGGAAAAATCACCAGCCAAAAAGACGAAAAGCATGCGTTTCCTGCTGAAATAAAACCGGTTTTGCTGTTAGTCGGTGCCCCACGGCGATTACCCTGTGGTCATCTGCTCGGCGCATGCGTTGCACTGGACCGATCGTACAGTGACGGCAGCTACGTTAAAATCAGCTGCCACTCATGAATCGACATCGTTAGTTAGAAAAAAAATCACAGAATTAATTTTGACTGTTTTGCAACTTTTGCTTGATCGTTCTTCCTGAACTAGAGCCCTTGGTTTATCCCAGAATCGTTATATTTTTTCTGTTAACCCAATAAAAAATTATTGAAAAATCCGTATGTAGTCTTCACCAGGAACAGCCGTGAAAAACAGTGACATAAATCAGTTAATTCACCGACGTTGAAGACTCCACAGTTATTTATCACATTTCCGCGCGCCAGAGAATGTCCGCCAATCCCCCACCCAATCCTCCCCATCCGGCGGTCCACCCGACCCGCGACCAATTGGAGCACCTGGAAGAGTTAACGGAGAACCTGATGGAGGCCTACCGCCATCTGGGCATCACGGTATCCGACGTGCAACCCAGCAGTCAGCCCGTCGTCAATCAGCAGCTGTATGTGTGGTGCTTCCCCTTCTGAGCCTTGTAAAACCCTCAGGAGTGCTCGATAATGGGTGGTTTTGTGTTGTTTCGCAGGGCGAATCTCATTAAATGCCTGCGGGAGCTGGACGAAGCCAAGGGGTGCCTGGGGGATCTGCATGTGCCCCTGGAGGTGGTGCAGTATGTCGATCAGGCGCGCAATCCGCAGAGCTACACCAAGGACTGCATGGAGAAGGCCATCATGAAGAACGAGGAGCTCAAGGGCAAAGTCGACGCGTTTAAGGTACAGAATTTAACCAGAGATGTTTTTTTATTTTTATCTGTACAGTTTTTATCATCCCGAGCAGTTTATTGTGGAATTTTATCTCTCTGCGCTTAGCAGCAGCAATGGTATTTTTTAGTTATTTTTCTTCATTTTTTGATTCTTACCAATTATAACCAGGTAAAATTATTGCTGTTTTGTTTTACTGTTTAGATGCAATTTTTTCTGTATTTTGCTGATGGAGATTTAAGGATTAAGCTTAAAGCATGCTGGGAAAATTTATTCGAGCATTCCTAGATGGGTAACTTTTATCTCATAAAATCAAACCAAAAAAAGTATAAAATTTCAAAATTAACAAAAAAGATTTTCTAATAGCCTAAAAGCCCAAATGTTTTCACCTAAGAGTATAAAGTCTCCGCAATGGAGTTTGGCTACTGTAGTTGCATAATAATAGTAAAAAAAAGTGTGAAATTATTGGATTTTAGCCATTAAATTTCTTTGTTACAGTGATTTCGAATGCAGTGTCGAATGCTGAATAAAGTACGAGGCAAGCGACAACTCTTTCCCATCGCTTCAGTAAATTTTATCACTTTCCCTGCTGCATCTTACCCGTGTGCAGGAGCTCTCGTGATACTGATATCGTGTCCATTGTAATCAGCGCTTACTGAGCCGGCGATAAAATCTCGCCTGCCATGCTCTTCTCTATATTCTTTATCAGTTTGCACTATCAACTATAGCTGCAAACCGACGTGAAACGGCTGAAATCAAGTATCACGTGAGCGCCTGCACACGGGTCAGATGCAGCAGGGAAAGTGATAAAATTTACTAAAGCGATGGGAAAGAGTTGTCGCTTGCCTCGTACTGTATTTTTAATCACGATGAATAAACAATAATGTATACAACATTTACAACATGAAATATAACGAATATAACTTAAAAAAATATATAATGATGACAAAAAAATATAATATAACGTAAACTTAGTCAGTTTTGAATTCGTTTGCTTACGATTAAGCTAAATCGATGAGACCAACCTAATTGACGATCCAGTTGCCACTACTCTACATTAACTTCGTGAAATCATCAGCAAAATTAACTCTAATGTCGACTGCATTGATAAATGTCCAGTCCACCTTTCGTTATACGTGTGGAATGGGCTTTTAGAATTATCTGTTGTTTTAAATAAAACTTTTAGGAATATAGGCAACAGAATGAGAAAATGCTTGTGTTTTTGATAAATACTGAATATGAATGGGATCGTTTTGAAAATACATGATTTTCTGAATACCAGTGAGCTGTGTTTAGTTTTATTTTCATTTCTTGTTTCTGGATAGGCGGTTGCAAAATTCAGGAAGATAGAGAAGATTTTTTATTTTGCTCGCACGGATCAACAGGCCACTAGTGATGCCTTAGCAGTAGACAAAATTAATATTAAAATTCTTATGAATAAGACTGAGGAAAAAAAAGCGTCTACGTAAATTCATTAATTTGTATGTTGCAGAAATTCAAGGCGCATTTACTGGTGGAGCTGTCCAAGGCCTTCCCGCTGAAATGGCCAAATATCGTGCCCTGCGCGGCGACCAGAATATTGTGGATAAACAGTGAAATGTCGCTTCTTGAGGATGTTTTCTTTGCTCATTTGATCTCGCGTTTTATCGGTTTTTATTTGTCGCGCTGTTTCGAGTCTTGTGTCAACAAAATAACAATAAAATGTATACTGATTAATAAAATGTCAAAATGAAGAGAAAAAAATTAAAATACTGTTAGTTAGTTAGTTAAAATTAAAATACTGTTATCCAATAAAATTACGAAAATTATGTGCTAACAACAAATTCAAGATAAATTTAATTTAAAATGCATTTACGCTTCCAGTTAAACATTTAAATAAATAAGTGTAATATAAGAAAAATTATGAGGTGAATTAACAAAAACTTGGTGAACATTTTTCCTTTAAATTCTCAGTGCGGTCGCGCACAAATCAACATCAAAACGGTGATCCACCGAAAATTCAGCGTCCAACGCCGGAACGATAAATCCGCCGTCCCATTGCAGAGATTCGTACTGCACATGCACACACTGACCCCCGACTCCTGCAAGCAGGCGTGCGCCAGACTATTGGGCACGCCGCAGTCGCGGATGACCTTGGCGTCCACGTCCGCCTTGATGCAGGTGTGAATGTCGCCGTGCACGGCCGTGCACTCCACCTCCATGTCCTTGCTGACCCGGTCGCAGTCCGTGCCGCTGCGACACCGGTAACAGCTAAAGGCCAAGACGGCTGCAAGCGGTAAAGGTCATCGATTAACTGTGAATTCTCCAACGGTGTTAAGGAAAATTTTCAATATTTATTAATTATAATAATTTCCGGAAAAATTTACGTATTGGGTCGTATCGTAATACGAGTAAATTGCCCAGGATAAATAATCTTACACGGGTCTGACAGAATGATCAAGAAACAGCACAATATCCGCCCTCGACGCATCCATACGGGGATGTCACTGGCGATCTTTTCTCATCCGGGAAAAACTTTATTACGATAACACCAATTACAGCCAATGAAGTCTTTTCATCATTTTAACTTAATTTCAGTTTTAATGTTTTTGTGCAGCTTTTTAAAACTATTCGCTGCATCGTGATTAGATCACTAGTAAAATCTTCATTTGTTTCGGTGCCTAGCAACATCCGACAATATACTGCGTTACGGAAAAAAAGGTCAACGTGGATGACTGTGGTCCGGTGAATGCATTACAGTAACTGCATCTCACAACCGAAATCTGTATTAATTGATAAAACTACTACAGCACCATGTTTATTTTAAACTCAGCACAGATTGAAAATCTGCGGAAAATGAAACATGGACAAGAAAACGGGTAAATTCGAGCAATATTATTTATTTTGTGAATAATGGTTGTTCTTATTCTTTGCTTTGTATTTTCGATACATTTTTATTTGGTGATTTTTTAGTTGTCCACAGTCCGCCATGGAATCAAAATCCATACGCACAAAACCCGAGATAAAACACGGTAAACATTAACAAAAAATACAGGCAAAAAAACCAGCATTACACAGCACGCATCGTACAAATACTTCCCGCGATATCAACACAACAAACCGCACATTTCCCCACCAACCCCTCCCACAAAATCACCCCTCGGAGACACTGCCATTGGGCGTCTGACTGAGATCCTCCTCGGCGGCGGTGACCACCACCGGCTCGACATCCTCCGCTGTTTCCGCCTCTTCCTCCACCGTCGGAGGGTCGTTCTTGACGTTGAGCGCGGTGACGCCGCCGAGATTCAAGGGATGGTCAGCGGCGTGGCGTGCACCGTTAAGATCCGCGGCGCATTCTCCCCCACCGCCGTACTGATAATGTCCAGGACGTCGCCGTCCGGCAGGATGCAGCGGATGGTCTGCATGCCGTTGGACGACAGCTCCACCGTGGCGCTGCTGCTCACCGGGGCCGATGCCGGTTCGGTGGGTTCCTGTGGAGGAAACACCATACCGGCTTCAGCAGGAATATAAAAGCATATTTATTATCTCAATGAATTACCCGATTTTTTAGAGAACTTAAAAATTCATACGATAAAAAAAACACTGTTCTGTCCAATTTAAATCAAAATTCTGAGCATCAGCGTATTTCTTTTGGGCGAACCATTGATTGCAATATCACAAACGTGGATCCGTAGAGAGAACAAAGATAATTTACCCAAATCCAATAGAACCTAAATTCAATCAATAACTCCCATTTACATATACACAGATGTCGCAGGTTTATGTAGTGCAATGGCCAAACGCTGCGACAATTACCGTTTCCATTTGGCGCCCGTATCACTAATGCCCACTGGGTTAAATAAAACAACAATATTTTTTACCATGAAAGCACATTAAGCCATAATTAATACAATACGCTATACATTGCGACTACAACCCAGACACCGACAGTCGTAAAAATGAAAAATAAGAAAACGTCCTTTGCAAATAAAACAAAAAAAAACCCGAATAAAATTCAAAATTTCCCTGAACATTTTCTCAGAAATCAACGAATTCAAAGAACAACCTTTCCCCAAAAATCAGCGAATTAAAATACAATTTCACCAATAATCAGCAAGTTAAATAAAAACTTCCCCAATAATTAGAAAAAAATAAGTAAAAATTACTCCATAATCAGCCAATCGAATGAAAATTTTTCCCAATTCATTAAAGAATTTAAAATAAAAATCTCCCTATAATCACCGAATTATATTAGACATTTTCCCAATAAGTGAATAATTAACGAATTAAACTAAAACTTCGTCAGTAATTTACAAAGCGTCGCGGTTACCTGCGGCGGCGTCTCCAGGACGTCCTTCTTGCGCGGCCCCCGCAGGGCGGTCTTCCGTCCACCCGGCACCCGCACCACCTTGGGCTTGGCGGCCTGTCCGGACGGACCACACGAGCCGTCCTTCTTGTGCGTGTTGTACAGGCCGCGGTCGGGGAAGGACTTCATGCACTTGCCGCAGACCACCGGCTCCTCGCTGACATGCATCTTCTGGATGTGCGCCTTGAGATCGGTGCGGCGGACGCACTGGGTGGGGCACAGGTGGCAGTCGAATTTGTTCCGCTTGGACAGATGCGTCAGACGGTGGGCTTTCATGCTGTTACTCTGACTGAAGCCCTGCTGGCAGATCTCGCAGATGTATGGCTTTTCTACAAAAAAACCGTGTCTCTTCTTGTTCAACTGCTTCACTTATACTGTTACTTTGTGCATTCCAATAAAAGTTTAAAATATTCCGAAATTCTTATTTTCACATTATTATTATTATAGCCTTTTCCAAATATTCACGGATATAGTTTTCTTCACATAAAATATAAATATATAGCGGGAGAAACACACGAACATATCAGAGCATTGTAGTGCAACGGCTTCAAGTAAAGAATCACCGTTAAGAAACGCCGTGTATCAAACTAATCAAATAAAGAAACTTCGATGCTTTAATTTTTTTAGAGAATTTGCAATTTCAGTCAGCGAACGTTAAAAAGTTTCGGAAATTGTTTTTGTCTAGTGGATTAAAAACCTCTTACTCACCGCCAGTGTGTACACGCAGATGCCGTTTCAATTTGTACGTATCCGGACTGGCGTAGTCGCAGTGATCACATTTGAACGGCCGTTCCCCTGGAAAAAATCGCATATAATTAATAGCGAACTGAACCCGACTAAACTTGTTCCTTTCACTGTAACAACCTGAACGTTATTATCACTGACATTTCCTGGCAATAAATGATTGTAAAGCGCAGTATTTTACCGGTATGGCTCCGTAGATGCCGTTTGAGTTTACTCAACTCCACACTCTCGTAGCCGCAGTTGGGATGGACGCATTTGTGCGGTTTTTCGTGGGTGTGTTTGTAACGCGTGTGCCGCACCAGTTCGCCGCTGGTCGTAAATCCGGCGCCACAGCCCTCGAATTTGCAGATATGCGGCTTAACACCGCTGTGCGTCTGTACGGAAAACACGCAATAACTATAATCATTAAATTTTAGCCGCTACGCTGAATAATGTCTTGTTTAGTAGATTATTGTAGTGCAATGGCTCATTCAAGCCGGGATCGGCTGCTAAAATGCTGCGATTATATCAAATCAAAGCGAAAAATCATAAAGCGAAAAAATCTCTTCTAAGCTAGCATTATTTTTCGGGAAAATTGATAAAATATTGCAGGTTAATATTAAAACCAGAAGTTTCAAAACCCTCCGAACAAACGATAAACTTCCGCTAATTCTCATTTATTTACGGCATTCCTGTAAACTTGAAAAATACAAATTAAATTAAAATTAAAACATTTAAAATACAAATTAAATACAATACAAATTAATACAGATGTAAATTAAATTAAAATTAAAACTTTTAATTAAAACATTTTCTGGGCTTGTTTTTATTATAAAAAGTAATAAAAATCCTTTATTTTTCCAGGTAATACGGTGAGCATTGCACTTACATTAACATGATTCTGCAGCGACGATGTAGTCTTAAATCCCCGTCCACACTTGTCGATGGGGCACATGTGCGGTCGCCTGCAAAACGAACCAAAACCGTCCTAATACGAAAATCACAAAATCATAATTAAATTGCCCAAAAATCATCCTTTCAGATAATTCCCAATTTTTCTCGAAATCATTATGAATTCAGATGACACGCAAATGAATTTCATCACAAAAACGGCAATACGCTTTTGAAAAACTATATAAAAAATTCTACTAACTCGTCCGAGTGGCAGCGCATGTGGCGGATGAGGAGATACTTTATTGGAGGCATAATCACAGTACAGACACTTGACATCCGGCGGGACTTCCTTCTTCTTCAGCCGCTTCCGCTCCTCCTCCTGCTGCCGCTCCGCCGGATCCTTCCGCTTCCGCGAGGCCAGCATGCGCGGGCGGAGCTTCTTGGGCGGGACCGGCGGACTGGCGGCGCGCTGGTCGCGGAATTCATACACGTCCTTACCGGATTTATTCGCCGCATGCGAATCTAAACACCGGCACAAAATTCAGAACTACAGCAATCACCTGATAAATTTATTACTGTTTATTAGAACAAAAATTTTAAATTCTTTTTTTGTTTTTTTTTATTATAATCGTATTTATTCCTCTTTTGATCACTTTAAAAAAAAACAGCAAACAAAATTACAAGAAACTCGTACTGTCATGAAACACCAAGAAAATTAGCACGGGTATTATTTAGTTGAATAAAGCGTATGCTAGCGGATCGAAGCCATACAGCCACCACACTACAATGTTAACCCCACTGACAGGCATTACTGAGCCTGTCCGTTCAAACCCGATAAAGAAGAGCCGTTTAACATTTTTACTTATTTTTTATTTAACCACTTCATTTTTTAACTTAATAATTAATAACTATTAATTTCTGTTTAATAATTTTATTTTTGTAACTTCACATTTATTCATATATTTTGAATTATATTTTTTATAATATTTTTTTATTTTTTATTTTAATTATACACCTTCTTCCCATCGCCTACCGTGCGTCGTGCCCTGTCCCGGCCGGCGCGCCGTCACCCGCCGCGCCACCAACGGCGTCCCACCGCTCTCCCCCTCCACCGTCTCACTGGCCGTCCCCTCCGCGTCGTCCTCCGGCACGGCGCCCTCCACCGGCACCGTCTCCACCTCGGCGATCAGCGAGCGGGCAATCTCCTGCGCCGCACCCATGAAATCCGTGGATAGGACGTAGGTGAAAAGCGGCGTGTTTCCGGCCATGGCGTCCATCTGGGTGGGCACGATGCCGGGGACGGTCAGTTCGCGGGCACAGGCCAGGAGGTGGACGTTCTGGTCGGGCGCGGCGAGGAGCTTGTTGCGCAGCTCGGTGGCCTCGGCGTCCGTCTCCACGATGTGCAGCTCCACGTGCTGGAAGGTCTGCTCGCCGGACACCTCGCAGACCTCGGCCGAGAGGTTGCCGCTGCCGGTGTCGTCCTCGTCGTCCGGCGAGATCAGCACCTCCGAGGTGGTGCAGTCCATGGCGGTGGTCATGGCGGGGGGGTTAACTGGCCGGGTCACTTCCAGTGCGGGCGGTCAATTCTGCAAACAGCGTATTAAATACTGCTAAATAAATTATATAAAATGCTTTAAACAACTTTTAAATATTAACGTGCGAAGAAACACAAATTCAAAACATTCCTAACGCATTTGATTTAATTTTTTAATGGTTTCTTTTCTTTGGCTTTTTAATGTGCGTTTTATCAAAAGAGCATGCACAGAGTAATGCACCAATACGGCGGCAAACTAAATAATAACTTACTTAAAAAAAACATTAATGATCATTTCAAAATTCAAAAAGCAACTTCTTACCAAAAGCAACTTATTTTAAAGATAAAATTAGAAAACAACACGTCATAAATCATAATTAAATTCGCTCTGAATTATGTGTTAAATAAAATCACGTGAATAGTGGCACAATAATCATTAAAATAATATTTGAAAATGTAAAATAGTTTCACAAAAATCACGAAGATAATAATTAGAAATGTAAAATATTTTCGTAAAAGTATCAGAAACCGCTTTGCGATTTGCCAGAATTTTTTCTGGGAATCTCGGTTTCTACTTGAAAAATTTACAAATAATCCACGTTAACGAATAGCTTTAAATGGATAGAGATTCAAGATTTCACATAAACTGCACGCTTAAAAAATAAGCTTGCGTTGCTGCCAGCTGATTCCCGTAGACAGCTGCGCCTTGCGCGTACGACTATTAAAGCAGGGTTTACGAGGTTTTACAGATTAAATCTGGGGAAAATAGCCACGATATCCGTGTTTATATGTACTGTTGAGTGTTGACTTTCTCGAATTCTTCGTAAATTCCATGTATTCGTTCGAAGAGCTACTGATTAAACAAAATAAATCAAATTCTCTATCAGTTTCGAGATACTTCACAAACTTCCCAAGCTTGTGAAGCCAACATCCCAGCAAATTTCCCAACGCAGCGCCTCAGCTCGCCACGCCACGGGAGCATGGGACAAAGCTTCCCCAGCCTGCCGCTGGTGTTGTACCTTATTCACACTTTAACTTTCTCATTAAAATGACGAAAAACACGATTACCAGTAAACTACAACAAAATTCCGGTTTTTGTACCTCCTCGGACTACGAACCACTAAACCCCGTTCGTTCATGTTACTGCCTAATATCGAAAACCAAGCCTTTATACTGTGTAAACGCGCTTCTCCCATCCTGATAAAAAAAATCTCACCGACCATAAATTATACAATTTTCTAATAACTTATCCGAAAAAACAACGGCCGCTATGAATTTCGTGGCTAACAACCGCTGGTCAGTGGATATACATCGTGAGACGACAGAAGCGTGCAGTTTGTCAGCATAGCTGGCGCCACGTTAGTCCTTTCCACACTGCTGCACTGCGCATGGTTTGGTGGCGCTTGTGCTCATCCAAAGTTTGGCCCCGACAACTTTTGTCACGCCGTGTTCCTCACCGGCGTAAGGAAACCCCAGAAACACATCGAATAAATCTCTTACCTGAAGAGTCTCGGGGGATTTTTAAATCGGTGCCAGTTTTTATGGGAAAAAATGACTGTGGAGAAAAAAGTTGGAAGAACCGAAAACTGCTGTGCACTGCAGCATCGATTTTCTGCTGCCGTCGCCGTGGGTCGCTCGCTGAGCCTCGCTCTCACTGCACGGATGAGTCAATGCGTAGGCAGCGTAGCACGTGGTACGCGTTATAGCAGTAGACCACGTAGGCCCGTGCGCGGGGCGGTCGGCCAGCACGACAGAAGCAAAACCATGCTATACATGTACTTCGCTTTTGCGCTGTTCTGTACGTAACACTTCTGTTCCGTTTATTCGAGACAATCGATCAAATTGTTGCTAAAGTGTGTAAGATCAATACAGTAGAATCTAAACGAGGAAAATGATTCTAAAATTGCTGCTTTTCGCTTTACATTTTACAAAAAGCTGGAAGTGTGAAGTGGCAAAATTGGCTGTACTGGGACAGCTAAATTTCGATTAAAAAATTGAAATAAATACTGCGGATTTATACAGCAATGCAAAACTAATATTTTCAGTAGCTTGTAAAATAAACTTTTACACTCGTAAATCAGCACGACAAAAATGCAAACAAATCAGAGAAATTTTCAAGAAATTTTTTTTTTAAATTTCTCTTAATAATTCGCTGTTCTTTTTCGAAAATTTATTGAACCGTCGACGAATTTGTTATAATTTGATTTGAGCAACTCAATGTGAAGTACAAAAACGAATTATTACGAATTATACGAATTGTTGTTTCATATTCACATTAATTTTGTGTTTGGCAGACTTTATTTCACACTGTACGCAATCCAGCATGCGAAACAAACCCCGCCAGGCATTTCCCACAAACAAAAAAAACACAACGCGCGACAAAAACCAACATTATAATAGGAGATAACCACCAAAAACAACCGCAGAGCACTACTACCAAATTACAAAGAGAAACGAGATAGAACAAGGATGACCGCAAAAAAATCGCAGCGCACCAAGCCAACCACACGCCCAACGCAATCCGCATGTAGTCAGCCCGGTGGCCAGCACAAATGATGACAACGCTCTCCATTCCAGGCTTCCGCAAAGGAAATTATTCAAAAACACGCCGCGATGGATAATGCACAGGATGAAGCCGGCACACGAAGGAAATAGAGTAACGACAAAAGAAAACGCGGGAACAATCCACCGAATAATTAAAAATCGGGTCGTGACGTGGTCGCCCCATCCACATTATTAGCACACACGATATTATAACGGATGGTGAATCTTGCTCGAAAAAAAACATAGCACAAACAGGTGTATTTTGGGATGAAAATTCGCTTTTAATTTAAAACAGTACACAGGATGGCCAGCGCGGGAAAAGTAGATGACGATTAAAGTTGGATGATCAAAAACACACTGATGACGCTGTTTATCTTGATGGTCGGTTTCTGATAAAAACACACACGCAAAATTTGCCAACAGTTCGCGTTTTCGGCTGCGATCTCGTCCATAATTCGAAAACAGAGACAGATATACGAGAAAGATAGAATTAGGGAACAGATAGAGACACATGTCAGATGATTTGTCGGTTAGTTAGTAGCAACGTTCGCGTAACAGGATAGTGCGGAAAGGAGAGATAGAAGACAGAGAATGACAGACGAGTAGTGTGTGTTCCATTTACCAGTTCTGTTGCTGTTCGGTCTGGCTGTCGCTGCCAGCTTGTCCTTCGCCGGCTCCGGACTCATCCTGCGCAGAAAGAACATACCGGTAAATAAATGAATCAAACACAAAGCAAACAAAAATAAAACTTTTAATTTTCGCAGCATGTCATCCTCGATAAAACCACAAGAAAATTGATTAAAATACGAATTTCCCCAAGAAATATTTTAGATTAATTGTACAAATATTTTGCTTTTATAATAAATTAATTCTGGCTATCACATAAAGCTTTTATTTGATATTTGTTGCCAATATTTTCAGAATACCGCTGGCTAGAATTATTAAAACAAACTGGAAAATACTTCAGATTTTTGATAAAATTTGTCTGTGGTGCAAATGTAAATCATTCTACAAAAACGATACAACAATTTCAAAAACGTACGACACTTACGCCGCTCTTATTGGCTCCGCGGCCCCGTCCCCGCGAGAACGAGCGGCCCCGACGCGGTCCCCGTCGGGGATAGCCGGCGCCGCCGCCGACCACCTGTCCCTGCTCGTCGTAGGCCACGGCGGCCTCCACCAGCTCCTCACCGCCACTATCGCCACCGTTCAGACCGCTGCCGCGACGATAGCCACGTCCCCGCCCGCGGTAGCCACCGCGGCCGCGTGGCACGTACCCGCCACCGTTCTCTGCCTAAATACCCAAAACACGCGATGTAACTGACAATGACAGCCACTGCCAATTGACGGGATATGTATGGAGTCCTTACATAATCGCCCGCGACCCGGGTGTACCCGCCCTCCACATCGCCGGCGTAGCCGCCACGGCCGCGCGGCGCATACGTGGCACCGTACCCGTATCCGCCCCGGTAACCGCCACGATAGCCGCCGCGACCCCGCGGACGATAGCCCTCCACGACGTGCTGCCCGTCGCCGGCCTGCTCATCATACACGACCTGCTCGTCATAGCCGCCTGCATACTGCAATACAAGACAATACTCTTAACACTCATCTCATCAAAATTCAACAAAATAAAAGCTAAAATTTCCAAAATCAACCAGAAAAACAATGTTTAACAGTCGGATAAATTATATTCATTTAAAAAGGTGTTGGCTGCTCCAAAATTATAATATGATATTAAAAATAAAAATCAATACCACGAGATAAAAAAATCGAAGAATAACAAAAACACTCTGCCGCGCTTACACCACCACGGTATCCTCCGTAGCCGCCGCCGCCACGGTATCCCCGGCTGCGATAGCCGCGTCGGCCCCGTCCACGACCACGTCCGCGGCCCGTCGCATACGGGCTGCCCTGCACGGCCTGTCCGTTCGGCCCGGTCACGTTGGCCGCTTCCAGGCCCTGTTCACGGTAAAAACAAAATCGTTTAAACGCTTCCGCCGAAATGCCTCGCATTGTTACAGCCAAAGTCGATTAACTATCTCTCATTTCGCTATAAATCTTTTAATTTTTCTTCAACAAGCTTTCAAATTCATGCCCCGTAAGTCATAAGTTTTTAAAATTAATTTTGCGGAAACAGTCAAGTCCATTTCGTAGCCACAAATAAACGCACGGGGTGCGAAAAGCAAAATAATTTTATAATAGTTTTAAATTTAATTTGTTCACCTTGTCGCCTTCGACGACATCGAATTCCACGGCTTCGCCGTCGCCGACACTGCGCAGATATTTCTCGGGATTGTTCTTAATGATCGCTGACTGATGGACAAAGATGTCTTCCTTGGTGTCGTCACTGCAATGCAACCAAGCATCATTATTCTTTCTGTTTTTTCCCCTGACCATTTCAGATTCCTTACCGATTGATGAATCCATAACCGCTCTTCACGTTGAACCATTTCACGGTACCGGTAACCTTGGTGGCTGCAGAACAACAAACAAACACCAGTCAGTATAACGAACGGAGGAATAAAGTAGTGAACATGTCGTTTAATAAGTTGCCCAATATCTTGTATGAGAAGGGAAAAGGATTTCCTTCTTGTATGGGAAAGGAAATTAATAATTATTATTAAGAATTTTCGAATAGCAAAGTTGTCCTTGTTTTGTCGGTTTACAAATAAGAAAAAGATTTTAAACAGCGAATTACAAAACAAACTTCACAAGTTACGAATACAACAAGGTACATTTTGTACATTGAATCTATCGGTTCAACCGTTCAAGTAAGCCATCACACTACGAATTGTCATCGTAAATGCCGCCTTCTACAGCGAGGTACCGCACGAACCGCAAACAACGCCAGCTCACAAATCCTCGACGTCATAATGCATTTTCACACCGGTTTTTTTCGCAAAACACGAAGCTACTGCATAACCCCTGCCGAAACCTGCACACACACGCATGTGGTGTCTGGAAAGTTCAAGAGCGCTGCGGCAGTAATTATTGCTGATACCATCAAACAAGACCCTTGATAGCCTAATCATAAAGTCGCTACATCAAACCATTTCATTATGTAATATCTGCCACAGGCCACATAAAACGCCGGTAAATACGTAATCAGCATTTTCCAGGCACCCATAAACACCGGGTTATGCGAGCACTGTTTTCACTTTAATATTTCACAAAAACAAGATCAAAATGAAAATTGTTACGAGCGTACAATTAAATTGTAATTTTGCCGTATCCGGTGGGAATTTTTCTATATCATGCTCAGCCTTGCTTTCCAGTAGAAAATTCGATGAAAACCGAGAAAACATTATTCAAAACTGAGACGATTAAAAATAATTATTTAGAAATAAACGGACTGGAAAACAGCGAAAAAACTATACTGCAATAAGTAATGAGTAAAAATTCAAAATGGCCAACAACTTATAATTTTTATATTTTCTTTCATTCGATTTTATCGGCTTCGTAAATGGTAGTTTCGTCAAATGTCGTTAAACGAAAATTTATTAGTCAACCTAGAAAACTATAAATACACAACAGTTGACTGCCTTATGAGCAGAAGATGACTTGCGCCGTTATTATTCCAGGCCAGCCGATCAAATCTAAATAAACCACACCGCCACAAGAGGCAGCAGAATCGTGAGCTAAGCGCGAGAGAGGCGCGCAGGCGCCGCACAAAGTGGAGAAACCAGTTCAATACACCTCCAACGCATCACAACCAAATCAGCCACGTTTGCCTGTGCCCCCTTCTCTCTCTCTCTCTGTGCGCATTCACCTTCAGCTGGCCTGTCATTTCCTGCCTTCACGCTTTTCAAAAGAAAATCCCTCCTCTAACGCTGCAGATCAATTCCAGAAAAATTCAGATTTCACAACCTTCCAAAATTAATTAAATTTCACGAAAGTATTATGACTTTCCATGTATGTATTACAACTGATTTAAAGGCAATAAAAATGTTTTTTCTGAAATTTTTGCCGGCTTAATAATTTCAAACCGGTTCTCACTAAATTCTTTCCACCTGTTCAAATTTTGTTTCGTTTATTTTTCGTGGAAAAGGCGCAAAGCATGTTAAACCAAACATACTAATGACTGATAATTAAAAAAGCACACTTAAATCCAAACTTCTCACAAATTACGGCGCATAAGATGCCAAAACTCAAGTGGACACCTACTCATTTCCCATAGGCTAACAGGGATGCCGCTGTTGCGCGCACACTCATATGCAGCTCACTCATAACGGGACTTTCACTTTTGGCGCAGCACAGCAGTGATTACGAAATCACCGAACTTTCAACTTTTTCGCATTTCACTCGGTTTACACTTTACCCGCCAAAATTTCAGCGATGCGGTGCTATTACAATTTTTCACAAGAAATTTTCCACCGTAACGAAAACATCATAAACAATTAAGCTTCAAGGTGCAAAATCCAAAAAATGAAAGCGAAAAGCGGACTAATAATAAATAATTCTTATTGAAGTGAAAAATCAAAAACCTGGACAAATTTAATTGTTATTTACTTTGAAATCCACACCGGTGCTTATTTCGAAATAAAAATAAATCAAATAACTGCTCATTTTTTACTCACCAGAAATGAGCGAGAAAGTTGAAGAATAAGCCGTAATAATTGGAAAAGATAAATAAAATTTTAAATTTCCGGAGAACTTCGCCGTTACCAGGTCTAACTGTTTTCAACAATGAAAAGATGTTTCATTTATCCTTTTACAGACGGCAACTATTACCGAAATATTAAAAATTCATTTCTACATAGGAATTCATTGGATAAACCGCGGAGAAACGGGACTTACCCACGCATTTCTTCTGAGGAACCTGCCCGGGTTGGTTGGGATCGTCCTGCACTTGCGTCTCAGCCATTATTATATCTTCTGCTCACGGTGGTGATTAGGATGGCAATAACACACACACGGGTATAAATCAGCCACAGATCTCCAGGATGACCCAATGTGGCACACAGATGGATGGTGATGTTAGTTGGTAAAAACTGGATGGTACTTGTGACGATGTTCTTGTCGTCCGCTGTTTGGATGGTTGTTTTTCTGATCTTTCCTTTTTCCTCGACTGAATTTCGTTTCCTTGACTGCAAAATGTGTCAGCCGCAACCACAAGCAGCGGTGGTACAGGGAACGTTTGGCCGAGCGCAGAGAATTATCTTGCGATATTTTTAGCTCTTTCTTTTGCGCTTTCATTTCTGCTTTAAATGTTGATTCTGCAACAAAATCAAATAACTTTTTTAAAGCTGCTTCCTCTTTGCTAAATAATTTATTTTACAGAAGTTTACTTTTATTATTTCTCAGGATTTCCGCAAGAAAATCGGAAATTAAAGCGCCTGTACACCTGATATTCGACTAAAACATGTCACCTGTCAAACTTCCCGGTTCGGTGTTTTTCAAGCTGATGTAGAGGGCGCTGCAAACGCTTTTGGTTTTTACCATTTAAGCTTTCTTCGTCGCAAATTCATTTTGCTTGGTTTTTCCAAACTCCAAAGATTCTTAAAAACAATAGAATTAAAATTTGTCTTTAATATTCTGGAAGCAAAATAATGTCTCTAAAAAACGGAAAACAGAAAAATTTCGTGAATAAATTGTGCAGACCAGCTGAAATTTCGATCTGTCCCCAGAAACAGCGCCCGCCTTCTGTACCGTTGTACAGCCGCCAACAGCTGATTGCGGCCTGCGTCTTGAATTAATCATGTTTATTCCAGCCGAGGCACTGATTTTGCTTCATTGCGCCTTTGCCAAGTTTTTATTCCCGACGTTCTTCTTCCATTTATCCCGGTGCCATTTTATCATTGATTGATTCTTTTATCCTTGATTTTACCCTAATTTCAGCCAGAGTTTTAAGAGTTTTTATCGGCAGACAGATCCTGTGGCAGTGCATCCGTTGCACTGATTTACTCTTCAGATCGTGTCAAGCTTCGTTGCTGGATTTTCGAAATTGGATGATTTTGGTCACGTACTCGTACTGAATTTGTGAGTTATCATTGGCCTGGATCCGCATTTTAATATTGTTTTGTGATTTTGAAACTGCTTCCATCATGTCCATGCCGTTTGGCGTGTGGAGAACGGCGCTGCGTCTGGCGGCATGGAACGACTGCCGAATCTCGGCTCAGCGCTGGTCGCCGAGCTTTCTCACTCAAAAACGCAATCTCTCCATAAATCGTAAGAAAATCACGCACCTGCTCATTTTCGTTGCATGTTTTGGAATTTGCAAAATTTGAATCGTTGTAGAATTTACTGAGGTAATGGTGAGTTGGAATTGATTTCACTGATTCCATAATTATTTCCCAATATTTATGCCAATAAGCAGCTTGATTTATTATTGACTTTATTGTTTTATTGGACAGTTTTGTAATATTTTATTTTATAATTTTGTTCTCTGTAATTTTGCAGCCGCTAACGGTTTGGACGAAATGCAGACGCAGATACAGGAAACGGCACTGAAATTCGCTAAGGAAGAAATGGCTCCGTATATGCTGAAATGGGATGAAGAGGTATGTACCGGAAGTTGGTTTATTACAGATTACTGGATCGCTTTTATGGGAAAATTTGTTGTTTGCGTACTGCATACTGTTTCGTTCGATCTACGTTTACATTGCGCTTATATTCTAGGATAAGGTTATATTAGCGATTTTGATCGAACATATTACTGAAAAGTGAAAACACCAGGATTTGCGTATTCCACTTGTTTTACCGTATTAATAATTAACCGGTATCAGATTGCCGGAATTTCTCAGTTAAGAATAAGTCCGTGGATTTTTGTCGGAAATGCGGTGAATAATAGTCTAATGAGTGCAGCTCAACATCGAAACTGAAATTTGAAGAACAAGCTGGAAAGAAAATTCGAAACATTGAAATTAACGTTCTGCCCTTTAAATAAAATGATGTGAAAAATATTTAATGTGATGAAAAAGCGCAGCTTCTAGAATTTTAAACTGCATTTCGAATTGTTCAAATTAAAAAAGTTGGAGTTATACAATATGTGGATTAATAAAGCAAGATGAATAACGAATGAATGCATTTTTAATAGAGTTCAGCTGTGAATATTACGTTCATCAGAATTGTGCCCTTGTTCTACGTCACTACATTAGTTAATAGCAAATTATATTAAGTGGATCTGCGACTGAGATTTCCAGCCCGCGTTTCGGTTGTGAAAGTAATGGGGCTCACTGAAAATATTTAAATATGTGTTTTTAAAAAAAACCTGTACAGTACGAAAAGCAGCAGTTTATTTGTGAGAAATTATAAGATAAGCTAGGAAATTGACTTTCGTCTAATTAATTGTGAAGCTGCTTTTCCGTAGGAATATTTCCCCGTGGAGACGTTGCAGAAAGCCGCTCAACTGGGATTCGCAGCGGTGTACGTGCCCAGTGAGCACGGCGGGACGGGATTAACGCGGGAAGATGCCAGTGTCATTTTCGAAGCACTGGCCCAGGGCTGCGTCAGCACGACAGCGTATCTCAGCATCCACAAGTGCGTCGCATGTCCGCCATCGTTAATTTTTATTAGAGAACATTCGTCAAATTTTTTAAAATTTTCAACGCGCAGATTACATCAGATGCGTTTAACGAAATTGTGAATGAAGGTTGTGCTCGCAGTTGTTTTACTTCGTGGCTACCTCGGTCGATTAATCTTTTCTTAGCGATTTTTGCGGCTAATAAAATCCCGGGCATTGATCCTGTTTTTAATCTGTTCATTGTTTTTATGGAATTTTATTCCGGTTTAGTGGGGTTTAGAAATTAGTGTGAGAATCCGTAATTATCTTACTAAACCCCGAAAAATAACTTTCCTGTTTTAATATTACTAAATACATATTTCCTGATTTATTTTTGTATTATCACATTAAAACGGCGTATATGTAAAGTTTTCTTATGCGCAGCTTTTTCTTCATCTTAAAAGCAAAATTTTTTATTCAGTGTTTATTTTCTTACAATGTGTTTCTATAATGTGTTTCTATAGTATGTGCGTGTGGATGATATCGCAGTTCGGCAGCGATGCCCACCGGAAACAGTGGATTCCCGGCCTGGCGGCCATGGAGCAGGTGGCCTCGTACTGTTTAACCGAGCCGGGAAGCGGGAGTGACGCGGCGTCCCTATCCACAACCGCGCGCCAACACGGCGACGATCTGATCCTCAATGGCAGTAAGGTGGTGTATGTTATTTCGCAGATGTTATTACCGCAGCCTGCGTTTTTTTCGTGTTTGATTATTTAAGCAGCACACAGTTTTTGCGTTGTCTCTTGTAGATGTTTATGGAAGAGTACGCGTATGTGATCGACTATTAAAAAATTAATAGAGAAATTGAATTTATGGTAATATTTGTATTGTATAAACATCTGAATACTTTTCCTTTTTATTTGTCGTTGTTGGTTTGTTTTTATCAGAAAAAATGTGCGTAATTTTTCGATTATGACTTTTTCCATTGCACGTAATTTTCCAAAGAACATATCCCTACACAGTCAGTGAGTGTTGATGTTTAAACGAGCAGCGTGCCATTCTTCTACAATTTTAGTCGAAAATTAAATTGCGTCTTATGATCTCTGTTGCCATTTTTGGAGTTAATCGCACTGACAGCAGTCTGGAATACGTTTGCAGGCGTTTATCAGTGGCGGCGGTGATACGGACGTGAATCTCGTCATGTGCCGCACGGGCGCCCCCGGTCCCAAGGGCATCTCCTGTGTCCTGGTGGAAAAGGGCACCAAAGGCCTATCATTCGGCAAAAAGGAGAGGAAGGTCAGTTGCGATGGAATTTCTGCGCAAATTATAAACAGCATGCGAAATTTTAAGAAGAAATAATTAATTTTGGAAGAAATTATTATTTTTGTCAGGAAGCAGTAATATTTGCTTATCCCGGCACGTGATTTGGATAAAAAATTCATTCACCGGAAAGAGAAAAATTTTTGAGAGTTTTATATTCAAATAACTATTTCGGATTTGTTGAAAAGTTGACTAGCGCCAGTACACTTGATGTTTCGCTGTTGTTTTCTCTTGGTGCATTTACTTGAGTTTTGTGCGGGGAATTTTTGGGCAAAATCTGGATAACCTTATGAAAATGCGTACGGTGATCAGGCTTCATAAAGGCCGAGTCATCCGCATGCTACCTATTTATTAGCCAGCATACTTTCCTAACCAGATTGTGGTGTTGGCTTTATTTGGATTTTTGAGTTTCTTTGCTTGATGATGAAGTGGTGCAGGTGGGATGGAATTCGCAGCCGACACGCGCACTCATCCTGGAGGACTGCCGTGTTCCCAAGGCGAATATTCTGGGACGGGAAGGACAGGGCTTCACCATCGCCATGAACGGTCTCAACGGCGGACGGGTTAATATTGGTAACTACATATTGTTAACTCAACGACTAGTGACGATTGGTATATTTGCTTAAATTGGCATTTCTCGCATAATAATCAGCGCAGAATCTATTGCACTGTACTCATGCAAGTGCGCGCAGGCAAGCTTTGTACTTTGTAGTATAAATTCTGTTTACGATTTGAAATAAAAAATTAAATTTTATTTGCGATATTTTCCATTTTGTTTATTGAAAATTGAAATCTCGATTTCTTACTGGTATGACTGAGACGATCGCACGAATTTTAGCTACGGTGGGACGAATCTTTGCCAAGCCGGTACACTACGTTGACTACTAGATTAGCTAACTTTTTCTGCAAGTGAGAGCAACAGCTTAATTTCGTTGTTTGATCTGAATTATTTAACGAGAAATCTTTTGTGAAAACGACAAGCAAGTCGATTTCTTCATCGGTAAGCCGGTTTAAAACAGCATGTCTCAATCATTTTATCATTAGATTTAAATTTTGTACTAAAGTCTTATAAATGGAAATTCCTGACAGCGTCTTGCTCACTGGGCGGTGCACAGGCCAGTCTGGAAGCCGCGATCGATCATCTCAAAGTGCGGAAACAGTTTGGCCGACCACTAGCTGATTTCCAGGTACAATAATTATTTTTTCTGTATTGTTATTAGAATTTCTCTGTAAAACGGTCCCGCCAGTTTTCTTGTCAGAAAATACTCCAGTAATTCGCTGTTTGGAACTTTAATTCCACCGTCGTGATAATCGCATAATTCGAAACTGAAAGCATTACTTAATCTTTGAGAACTATTAAAATCCTCGCAATAAATACGCTTTTTACAGTTCACCTTTATTAGAAGTGAAGGTGCTTTTTTGTTTCTAAATTATAATTTCTGTTTTTATATTTATCTGTTTTTTTAATTACTCGGCATTTTTTTTATAAAAATCGGTCGAAGCAGCCGTTTGCTGAAATGCTAGAAACTGTAAACTTTTCACATTGGTTCATGAAGTTGATTGTCGGATGTGCCGTTGCAGTATCTGCAGTTCAAAGTGGCGGAAATGGCCGCGAATCTCGTGGCATCCCGCCTGATGGTGCGCAACGCCGCACGGGCGCTGCAAAATAAGGATCCTGATGCGGTGTCGCTGTGCGCCATGGCCAAGCTCTTCGCCACGGATACGTGTTTTAAGGTTGGTTGAATTGATGACTTGCTGTAATTTTTTAACTGTAAAGAAAATGGTCCAATCCTGATTAAGTTAGAAGAGTTTCTGTATTATAGTAATTGTTCGTTCGATCGTAGTATATGGGCTTAGACCGGGAATGAGTATGTTTTGCTTATTATTATGAGCGACGAGTTGCGCTGAAAAATATTGCCGAATTTAATTGGTTTAATAATAATAATAAGAAAACTGGTATTTTTTATACCGTTTAATGATGCTGTTGTTTATGATGATGTGATTTTTTAATGGGATTTTTTCGCAGGTTATTAATCAGGCGCTGCAGATGCACGGTGGATACGGATATCTAAAGGATTACCCGGTGCAACAGGTACGACAGTAAACGTCGCTGTTCGGTTATTTTTCCTGCATTATTCGACGGCATACTGAAGGGAAATTGTATTAATCCCGTTGAAAATTCTAAAATAAATTTTATCGCAATTCCTAAAACAATCGGTATAATATTTTCGTGTAATGATCGTGGAATAAAGATATTTATTTTTTGCAGTATCTTCGGGATTGTCGTGTCCATTCGATCCTAGAAGGTACGAAAATTAGATTTTGAAACTGATCGGGATTTTGTTGCTTGAAAACAAAATAATTTTTGTAGGAACCAACGAAGTGATGAGAATGCTCATTTCGCGGGAACTGTTACAAAGTTAATTATTTTAATTGGAATTGTTTTTATCGATTTTAGTTTAGTAATTTTTAGTTGAATTTGAAAGCATATGAATTTGTGATTATGTTGATCGGTAAATCTAATGCAGAAATGATTTTATTTTTTGAACATGGTTTTAGCTTAAAAGATTGTATGCGGCGAGCTGTTTTGTTTGTTATCAGTTATCTCGAAATGCGTGCTTCTTCTCATGAATTAAATAACAGCCATTACAGTGGAATTTAGCTTATTGTCTTTATTGTTGATTTAAATTCTAAACGGTAAACTGCAATTTTTGAAGGGAAATTTTATCTTTGGAACAATTTGAAGCTTTTCTTCTTATAGAAATTTTTTCGATTTTCAATATCGGTGGCTAATTATTTTAGACGGTTGATGAATAATTAAGTTGTTTCGAAGAAAAAGTATTTTCTGGTAATTATAATTACAACTGGATTGCATGCTAATTTTTCGGCTCATGATTCAACGCGCGGTGACACCTTATTGGTAATTTTGCATTGCGGGATTTTGGTCAAGGTGTCCACTGCTCTACGATTTTCACGCCTTTTGTTTAGTACTTACGGCGTAGTGTGGTTTATGATCGTAGCTTTTTCATTCATGTGCTTTTCCAGTGAACTGTTTCCGACTTTGATAACTGTTTTAATATCTAACAATAGTAAAAAAGTATCTGTATTTTAAATTTTATAAATTGCTTTGAAATTGTACAAAATTGTACAGTGTCGATGGTATTTCTAATCTCACTTCTTGTTATTAATTGCATTGAACATCTGTAATACTTGCATCTAGAATCTGATAAACAATTGACGCCGGCGCCAGTTTGTGGCTTTTAGAATGAGGACATGCCGGCCGACGACAAAAACCCGATTTATCAGTACACGTAACCGGCGGGCATTTTTGTGTAATTTGTCATTGGCTGCGAAAGCGTCGATAATGGCCGGTGTAATGGTTGCCGTGTGTAATTAGCACTGCGCCATCACCGCACAGGATCTCGTAATTGCATCTTCACGGCACAGAGAGAAAAAGAACGCTGGCTTATTCGGCTGACGAGACGCGGAAGCGCACTCGGTCAGTTCATAACGCTGCACTTTTCTGCGGCATACGCCGTTTACCCTTACGAGCTACGGTTTTCCGATGATTTTGCATTATTTTGGGCATTTTTTATCGCATTAACTGCTCCCATTTATATTCTATAATAATTTATTTTCGCTAGAATATATATAAATATTTTTAAAATTATATATAACTATAAAAAATTGTCGTTCGCATTGTTTTTCGTCTGGAATTTATTTATTCATAAAATGGATTAACGGGAAAAAATTGTCGGGAGTATCCACGAACTGTTGGGGAATATTTATTATAAAATGAATTATTATTCGGCGACAAAATGATACGATGGAAATGGGGATTGCTCCTCCTCCCGTTGCACTTATCCTGTATTTCTCGCATCGCGGCCGTCTCGGAGGCCGATCTCGATGAGCATCAGCAGTGCCAGGTGTCGACCGTGAACAGTAGCTGGCCCCTGCAGGCGGTGTGCCGGCCCCGCACGCGCTGCTCGTTGGATAAACTCCTGCAGCCGGTGCGACTGTGTTTCTTTAGCAGTCGGCCGGTATTTGCCCGCGCCCTCGATGATGCAGCGGATGCCTTGTCGGTGGAATCGGCGCGGACGTTGATCGCCCGCACCGGGTCGGCGGGGGTGTGCTGCCGGGTGGATATGCCGGCGCCGGTGACGCCGCGGACGACCACCACCGCGATGCCGGTGGAGCTGCTGACCAATGAGATTGCCGGGACAGGTAAAGAACAGCTGCAAGGAATTTTCATTTTGATTTTTTAATTTACTTGTTCTATTCCAGTTTAATTGAATTTATTTTCTTTCAAATTTATTTAAGTATACATTTTATTAGATTGTATTTCAGCAGAATTATATTTCGAATTTTTTGTTTCTTTTTATGTAAAATTTTCCGTGTTGTGATCGTGTCCGACAGCAAATTCTAGCCTGTTACAAATTGCCTGAGTTGCTACCCGAACTTGAAAAAATCTTTATGGCTTTTTTCTCCATTTTTTACTCGCTCTGTATTTGTTTGTACAATTTTATAAAAATGTCTCCGTGTTATTTTTGAAAGATCTCTGTTAAATTTTCAATTAAATTTTGCTTTTTTTTACTGATTAATTATTTATAGTTTCTGCATTAAACTATAAAATATAATAACAGTTTGAATTACTCGATTGGGTAAAATGCGATTGTGCTTGAATTTCCATGTGTCATCTTCCCCACAAGGCGTTGAATTATTACGCTGCTATTAGTGCTTCGGTTGTTACTACGCACTGATCTTGTAAATTTTTTTTTCTGTTGAATTCGGTGTAGAATAATAATTAATAAATATTTTTCATCATAAAAGAAAATTTTGTCCATCGAAATTGATTATCCAAAGAAATTGATTATCCATCTGTATGTTAGCCGCTCTGAGCATCCGCAAACCGGCCGTTCCCCTGCCCGACCAGGACCTGCTAGACATCATCCCCTACTCCGCCCTGATCGCCAGTAATCTGCTCTTCCAGAACAGCAACCGCATCCGCAACCCCGACGGCAGTCTGGCCAGTCCGAAGAAGAGCTTCACCGCCGCCAACATCGGCGATCTCGGACTGGACTGCGGCCGGCGCAATCTCTCCTACAAGATGATGCGGGTGGGCCGCATTGTCGGCGGACTGCCGGCCGGCTTCAGCGACTGGCCCTGGGTGGTGATGGTGCTCAACTATGGCCGTCCGCGCTGCGGTAAGCCGCCGATAATAATCCTGCTAAAATTCTATATAATGAATTGGAAAAATATTTATACACTGTTGCTCGCCTTGTGGACAGTGTGCAGTTTCGATGCGTCTTTGTAGTGTAGTGGCTACAGCCGGTACGCTTACGCACGGTATTCAGATTAGAGCTGCTGCTGTTAAAATGTTGGCTTTGACTTAATTGCAAATTGGTTTCTTATTTTTAGCCGCGCTGCGGTACTTTAACTTTTAAGAATAATTCTGTGAAAAACAATTTGGGGAACATTTTTTTATATTGTTATCCGCTGCTCGCCCTTCGAAATGTGTGGATTGTAGTGGCGTATTTGTAGAGCAGTGGCACTCCACCACCCTCAACCACCATGTATTTACGATAAATTCTGCAGCTGCATAAAATGCCGGCTTTGATTTGTACCTGATTCTGAATTTTTGCCTTTTGTGCTGTATCGGGTGTTGAATTACGGACGGCCGCGCTGCGATAAGCCGGCGATAATAATCCTGCTAAAAGTATATAGATATTATAAATAACTGGAAACATGCACTGCTGCTCGCCTTGTTTCGATGCATATATGTAGTGTAGTGGCTGTAGACGGTACGGTGCGAGTCCGGTTTTCAGATTAGAGTTGCTGCTGTTGAAATGTTGGTTTTGATTTAACTGTAAATTGACGCCTTATTTTTAGCCCGCGCTGCGGTAAGCTGTAACTTAAACCTTTAATAATAATCCTGCGAAAAACATTTTAGGCTTTACTGGAAAAAGTTTGTGTATGTCCGCTGCATGCCTTGTGGTATGAGTGGATTATCGTGGCGCGTTTCTAGAATAGTGGCACAACTCCTGCTTGTATCTTGCCTGTGTTTACGATTTATGCTGCAGCTGCACATAATGCCGGCTTTGCTTTATTTATAATTTAACTTTTGAATTTTTGCCGTTTGTGATTCACCATGTACTGTATATGTATAGTGTATACTGTTTTGCATTTTTGCAATAAATGCAACTTTGTGGACTATTGGAGCTTTTTGTTCGGAAGTGATGGAAATTTGTGCAACGTGTTCGTCTCAACGACAGTATTTTTTAAGTGTTTCTTTGAAATTTTTCCCCTCGTACATCGTCCTGCCATCATTTCGGTATTTTTATTACCGGAAAACAAAATTTTATAAATATTTCATTATGTGATTTTTTTGGATGTAGTGTCAGTGCGGGATCGTATTCGTCTGAGTGTTATAAACGTGTGCAACTGAATTTTACTATTTCTAATAATTTTTTCATTCATACGTACGGTTCGAAAACGCTGTTCTTGTGTTTTATAAAAATTAAGTTTCACTGCGTGACTTTTTCGGATGTTATGCAAGTGTAGTATTCGTATTCGTCTCAAGATCATAAATATGCGTAAAAACTTGTTTTTCAAATTTCTTTGGTTTTTCTTATTTTTAGTTTTACCCTACATACAGTCGTTATTTGTCCTTCGTGTTTTTTTTCAAATAAAAATATTCTGTTTATGGACTTTTTATGGGTGTTGTGTAATCGCAAAATGAGTGTATTCGTCTCAACATCAGTGCAGTTATTTGGATATTTTTTCACAGGCGGAACTCTCCTGTCCAACTCCGACGGTGATCACCGCCGCCCACTGCGTCAGCGGTAACCTTTGCTGTACAACCTGACCGTCCGCGTGGGTATGTTCAACACCAACGAGCGCCTGACGCTGCCGTTTCCGCCGGTGGAGCGGCGGGTCAGCGCCATCGTCCGCCATCCGGAATTCGATCTGACCACGCTACTGAACGACGTGGCCATCCTGCACCTGAGCGAGCCGGTCAGCTTTGCGCCCAATATTATGCCGGCCTGTCTGGCGTCGCAGGAGTACCCGCCCAGTACGCCGACCATTATTCTCGGCTGGGGCAAGGAAGGGGAAAGTACGCGGGAACGTCCTGGTTTCCTAATAATGCAGCGTATTAAAAATTTATGCATTTATATTATTTTCAAATATTTTGTTGAATTTTTGATTGTTTATGAATTTGTTGTATTCTATCGCCGTTTTATTTTTTTCAAATTTGTTTTAATTTTTTACTTGTTTCGCTTTGAAAGTCTAACCAACTACAAAATTTGTACATTTTACCGGCGTTCTGTTATTTCAGATTTGTTTTATTTTCTTACTGTATGTTTTAAAATGTCTAAATTTGGAATACATTTGATAGATGTTATAGTATTTTCAAAATAGCTTTTTTGTAAAGAAAAGTTTAACCTAAATAATAATTCTTAAAAATAATTGTAAGGCACTCTTAGCAAAGTTCAGTGCAACATTTACGTTTTGGCCGTGTTTTACTTGTCTTTTAAATGATTTCTTAAGCGAACAGCTCTGATTTTCCGCTTTAAAATACATCTCACTTTTTAAGAGTTGGAATAATTTTTTTGAAAAATAATTGTGGAATTCTCAAAATTTCAGAACAATTCGTTTATGGTTGTTGTTGCATATTGTGATATTTTTTGTTGATTATGCAGATAATACGGTATATGAACTGCCGGATTCGTTGCAAGCGGTGTCCGTGCCGGTGTATAATCGCAGCGAATGCGCTACGTACTTCAACAAGCAGGGATTGACCAATCTAATCGGGCCGCAGCATATCTGTGCCGGGTCGGACGAAGGCGGTCGGGATGCCTGTCAGGTACGGCGAAATTCCTGTAAATCCCTAAAAACAATGTGCATGTTTTTTTCTGTCTAAAATCTGTACTCGAAGTTTTTCGGTGATTGTGAAGCATTACGTATTATTACCGCTTTTAGCAGTTTATTTTCAGCTACTTACGATAATGTTTTCCCAGTAATTGTAAAGTTCACGGGAAGCTGCCTGGCAATCGTGAAAAAGTGCCCCGTAAAAAAGTCGATGTTATTTACTAGAATTAGAAGTTTTGGTAAATGGGCGAATTAGAATGTTAAGTAATACTTCCAGATGCCTGGTGCAACGAATTGCCGCAGTACTACAATTTTCACATTTACACGCCGATGCTACATGTATGTCTGCTTGATGGACTCGTGTTCCTACTGCGGATATATTTTTATGACTGGAAACGTTACCTATTTTTGCAGAAGATTTTCTTCTAAAACTTTGGGCAATTTCAGTTCGTATTTGAAAATCATAAAGCTTAAAAATTACGTAATGTTTAACTGAAGAAAGTACAGGGAAAAGTAACAAAGCTACAATTTGGAAAATTTCTTCAGAATAAACACTTGAGAATAATTTCTTTCAGTATGGGTGGGCAGTTTTATGACTTTTTCCTTTTATCTGCAACATTTATTATTTTTTTAAAAATGATAATGGTAATGTGGTTTTGCAGGGTGACTCGGGCGGGCCCATGCTGCTGGCCAATCCGGAAGGCCGCTTCGAATTACTGGGCATCATCAGCTGGGGATTCGGCTGCGGTGAGCCGCACATTCCGGCCGTCTACACCAACATCTTCTACTTTAAACGCTGGATCATCGACACCGTCAAGGCCCTCATGACGCCCAGCAAAGACGCCGCATAAAATATTTTAATAGATTCAATCTGAGAAAATTAGTTTTTGTTTGGATAATTATTGATCTCGTTGTTTGTTTCTGCTTGTGACATGATGAGAAATGAAAATTTGTTATGTGAAAAAACGGGTAATCCGATCACAGACTGTGATTAAGGAGGTTTTTCCGGTATCGACAAACGTAATCGCACTGTGCCGTTGTAAAGGTCAGTTTGCTATCAGATTATGCTGACCGGAAATTGTGGACTTTTACCACAGAGAAAATTCGTTCTCCTTAAAAATTCGACGAATTCTTCAGCGTTTCTTTGTGCTTTGCTCATACAGATAAATTTATCATTTCCAGATTTATTTAATTGTAATCTACAGTTATATGGAATTTAAGAAATACGTAAAAAAGGCAAGAAAATAAAAGCGAATATATTACGTTTTAGGTAATAAATAAAATAAAAAAAATCAAGATCATTCGGTCACTATAAATAAATAAAAAATAATTATTAATAAAATAATAGTGATAGTGTTGGAAAAGACTGCGCGAATGTTGTGACTAAACGGCTAATTTTTACTGCCGGTATTATTTAAAATTATAATTAAATATTCGCATGGGCCGTTTTGAAATTAGATTAAAATAAAGAAGCTCGTTTGCTTGCTAAAAATTGTATTAGAAATAAAATCCACGAGCGGATGCAGGCAAAAACATTACTGAATCGTTTCGATGACACTTCCGATTGGTTTTTTCTCTATAACAGAAATTTAACGAACGAAAAAAGGTTAAATCGATCGGCAATCGCTGCCGTTTTCGCGCGAGTCATGTGTACGCAACGTGACGGTCGGCTCACGGTCCGGTCCGTGCATCCTGATATCAAAATTGAATCGCTTTGTTTACGTTTGCAGCAGTCACAGTCGCACGGATTGTTATTACCCGAGCTCAAATTCTCCCTATTGCAACGGTGAAAAACGATGCTGTTTTATTTTCCTCCTGTTTTTCTCCTGCATGTCTTTTCATTCCTTGATTGCCCATTATCTGCATAGTCTGTGGCTCCATGTGGTGGCCGTCTGCGGGATAATGCATCCGCTGGGGAAGCGTCGTGAGGAGCAGCGCGATACCATGTTCAGCCAGCTGAACAGGAAAGTCAAACAGTCCAAGCATCATCTGCACCACAACGGGGACGAGAAGAACGGCCTGACGACGACCCTGGTGAAGAACGGCGCCAGTGTGGAAGATGCTTGTCATTCCCTGATTAATCGCACCCTGCCACGTGAACTTATCCTGAAAATCTTCTCTTCCTGGATCTGGTGGCCCTCTGCCGATGCGCGAGAGTCTGTAAGGTACGAAATGTAAAATAAACACGGCGCATGTCATTATTTTCCCGTACCACTTTCACTGTATCGCACTGGCAGTACAGGGAATTTTAGTGTAATGTGGTAATTAAGTTAAACATGGATGTTTCAATGAGTTCCTTGTTATTATGCATACGATACGTGGTTGAATGAACAGGGAAGGATTGACTGCGAACAGTTTTATTTTTTAAGTGACAGCAGAGAACAGGGTGAAGGCTGTTTTATGGCTATTTCAAGTCGTGCGTATTAGGGATTATTTTTTATGCCGCGGAGTAAATGCACACAAATGGGTCGTGTGCTTAAAAGGTGCAATCAGGGTGATTTCCATCAGTGTGATCGCAGCAGGCCACCGGAAACCATGATAAGAGTGTTCCGGTATTGAATATTGATCCGCTTGTTCCCATTCGCATTTCCACCTCACCTGGCCTTTTTTCCCCGTGCCGCGACTGTTGGCTAATCGTATGCCACTTTAGAATGCCAATTACGGGGAATTATTCCTGCAGCACGATATAATTTGCATAATTATTCACCTGCGCAAATCACGCACACAGTGTTGAATTACGGCAAATAAAATCAGCACGTAATAAATAATTCCGTGAAAATGCCAAAAATCAGGAAAAATTCGAAAAAATGCAAATAAAAAATATTTTGACGTTGGTTTCGTTTTTTGCAGTACTGGAATGTCCTGGCCCATGATGGCAGTATATGGCAGGACGTGGATCTCTTCGAATTTCAACGTGATGTTCAGGTAAACAAAAAATCGGCAAAAATAGTTTTCATCTTGCGAATTTTTAGTACTGTATTTTTGCAATTATGCCTGAACCGTAAACGTGGAAAATGAAAGGATATTGATTTTTATTTTGTTCTGATATGTGTATAATTTCCTATTGGTGATTATTAAATTTTAGAAATTCTGAAAGCTATGAAATTAGTGGATAGTTTATTTAATTTAATACCACAATCTATAAAAAGTTGATAAATTTTTATTCCATAAAATTAATTCAGGCTTTAGATTTAAAACGCTTTACTGGGAGATAGTAAATTTGTTTTGAAATATTTTCTTTAATTTTCTGATGCCTGTGCATTCTTCGCTTTTAAAAAAATTATTGTTTGCATTTTCTAAAAAAAATCTTTGAGGGTTGATTAATTTAAATTCTATTTTCTGAATAAATTTAATTGAACTAAATACCTGTTTGTGGGATGCGAAGGGGAAGATGTTTTTCGGGGGGAGGCAAAGTGTGTAGGACGACAGATAGCACTGCATCTGAGCGTGAAGGTTCAATAACACTTGAAAATGGCATGATCCCTTTATGCGGCTGCCAGCGGTGCCGAGCAGTAGCAGCGCATATTGTACTCGTTAACTCGTCACTCCAATTCCCGCGACAAATTGAGGACACTTTACTACCGCACAGTCCCCGAAGTAGAGCAGCACGCTTTTTCTCCTGGAGGAAAACGCTGCTTTCCAGCCCAATCTGTCCACCGTAATTGCCTAAATGCCCTACTTTTTCCCAACATTTTTAAAACGAATTATGCACCGCTTTGCGACAAAACAATGAAAACATTCGTTTCGGCAGAAAAATAATGTACTTGCTTAAGAAAAAACAACCTGCACTTTATGAATAAAAAATGCCGGGAAAAAATGTGATTTTTAATATCTAGACAATTTTGCTGAATAAGGTCAATTATTTTCCGTTTTTTTAGTTTTCCGTGGGATCACGTAACTGAAAAATTTAATTTAGGTTGCATCCAAATTTTATTAATGATTTAATGCGTATTTTCCAAAGTATTCTTTTTCAACCGTCTTTTACTCAATTGCTATATTTGTTACTGCAAAATCGTAGAACAGTGGCAGTATTACGAGGTACGTATCCTACCTATGCTACTACAGTAGTTTCTAAAGCTTGAAATATTTGCATAAGTAAGGAAATTTTTTCATATAAAACGTAACCATTTTAAATGTTTATTGAAAATGAGCCGCACGTCGCTTTTCCACGGAAGCACGTGAATCCGCTTATCAATTCTGGTCGCCGTTGTGTTGTGAAGAAAGGCGACGAGTGACAAGCCGGGGAAATGTGAAACGGCCACGAACTGGCTGTGATAAAATAAATAAATAAACCGTCCGTCATTTTCTGAAACCGTTCAACGTTGTATGTATGAGTGGGGTGAGTGACTGGTTAAAAACGCATACTGGCAACGGAAGATATTGCAGCGAGTCACGAGAGTCCGCTCGAGTCGTCGACGCGCAGCGATGTCAGTGCGCATTGAAATCAGCTGATTGGTATTCCTCGTAGTAAACGCGTAAAAGCAGCGTTGTGTTTATGCTTCATTGCATTGCTTTTAATGGATTATTTAATTCCCTGTAGAGTTTATAGTGTTTGTACATTTTTATCACACATCGGATTACTATCTAATTTGGTAAATTACTTATATATATATTATATATATATATATGTATATATTCCTCCGGCTGGCTGGTTAATTTTACCGAATATTAATTTTACCGAATATTTAATTCCCTGTAGAGTTTATAGTGTTTGTGCATTTTTATCACACATCGGATTACTATTCTAATTTTGGTAAATTACTTATATTTTTATTCCTCTGGCAGGCTTGTTAATTTTACCGAATATTCTAAATTTAAAAATTTAAATGTTTCCGTTTTATAAATTTTTGGTGCTGATTTTTTTAACCTTCACTGTTTTGTAAATTTGTAGTGAATTAAAATTTATATACGATGGAAGATGAGTCGCTAAACTGGAAAAAATCGAATTCGAAATCTTGTAAATGGAATGGATGATAACATATTATGGAAATGAAGTGAAGATATAGAAAAAAATGCAAACCATTTGCGAACCAAAATAATAATGCAAATCATCTGCGAAATTTGAAAACGAAAAGAATGCTATTATAAAGCAAAGTAGGTGATTTGTGAAAAGTTTTGTCAAGTACCGTGATGACGCTTCGTTCCGAGCCCAACCACTACGTCTAATACGACATAATAGTGAAAACGGAACTCAAACAAGCGAAATCGCTGCTTTTACCAAGCTAGTTTTTCCTGGCGAAGTTCTTAAATCACTGTAGCATTGCGTTTGCTTTTATTTGCATTTAAATTAGTTATTGCCAAGCCAGTACGCTACTTATAATTAAGTATTACAGGAAATGTGAGCCGGTACAACATTACATTGCTCAAAAATGAAAATTAAATTTTGAAAAAATAAATAGGATACGAGCGTTATGACAATGTGGATGAATGGCCATTATTAGAATACAATACATGTAATACAAATTTTATCAAAATAATCAAAAGTAAATTAATTATTAATTTTATAAATCTAAGGAATAATTTGTTAAATAATAAAGTAAATAACAAAATAAAATAGATTTAATTACAAAAATAAATTAAGTGAACGATGCATAGGATCTAATGGTAACTGACACTTCTTAATGATTTCATGGATAAATTAATTATTTATTTATTGCAGAGTCCGGTGATAGAGAATATTGCCCGCCGTTGCGGGCTCTTCCTGAAACGGTTGAACCTCCGCGGCTGCCAGCATCTCTCCGACGAGGCCCTGCGCAGTTTCGCCTTCTTCTGCAAGAACATCGAGGTGCTGGTGCTGCAGGAGTGCCGGAAGCTGACGGACGAGACCTGCCGGGCGCTGAGCAGTCATTGCACGCGGCTGCGCCGACTCAACATGGACTCGTGCGTGCTGATCAGCGACGAGGGCCTGCAGCGCATCGCCGACGGCTGTTCGCATCTGCAGGACGTCAACATGTCCTGGTGCGACCGCATCACCCAACAGGGCATCCAGTGAGTGCATTTTCGGTGAAAGAAAACGAGGGTGACTGTCATTTAAGCGAATATTATTTTTTTTTCTGCATTAATGGCTGAAAATTGGTTTTTGCGTGCGTTTATTAATTATGAAATATGAATAATTAATGGTTTAATATTTAGTGGCCAGGTTTTTACTGCCGGTGAAGATTATTTTTATAATTGTCTGTGATTTTATTTTTTCAATTTTGGTTGGTGATGACGGTTGTTTTTATTTTAGGATTTTTAATGGTGTAGGTGAAGAGGTTTTTAACAAATTATTTCTATCAAAAGAGACAGAAATTTGCATGCCGACCCGACCGTCTTTGTTAAAATGTGGTTATGTGGATAACTAGATATTTTTTTATAGTGTTGTGAGTGCCTTTTTGTAGGTATTTGGCACAACATTGTAAAAATTTGCGGACATTCGTGGCCAAAGGATGCAACGGCGTGAATGACGAGGCGGTGCGCGCTCTAGCTGACCATTGTCCGCGATTACGGGTATGCTGTGACGTTGTTTGTTACCTTGTAATAAATGAAAACTGAAAAAATTCCCTCATGCACGTACAGAAATTTAATAATTTGAAAGTTTTACGTTTTTTGTTATATTGTTACAAGTGGTATTTCTCTGACGGAGATGGCAAACACTATACTAAACTAAACTACTCGTAACAAACATCAACTGATGGGGAATGGTTTTAATCAACTGAAAATCCAAATGAGAAGAGCGCGCCTTTCTGGCAACGACGCAGCGTTGCTTTTATACTAGAACATTTGGGACAGCAGTGTGCATTAGCAAAATTTAGCAATTCTAATAACCATAGAACAATGTCATATTAACCAGAGCGTAAGTTAACAATAAGGCGTGCCATGGGTGTGACAATAGAAATTAAGCATATAATGATGAAGCAGTGCAGTGCTCCTTATTGTTTGATGGTAACAATTAAGGTGTAGTTATTAATAACTTTTGCTGACCTAATTATACCGCTTCGATGATCATATAATTATGCAGCAATATTTTACTGTTAACAATATCTGTTTTTAAGTTGTTTTTCTTACTAGAAAATCAGTCCTTTTTAAGCGTGTTAAACCAATTTCTGCGTTGCTCTGTATTTGTTCGCTTTATTCTGTACACGAAATATCCCTAGTTTGAGTATTTATGAAATATTGTAGTTTTCACGCTGCGTTCTGTCGTTTTAATGGCCGAAGAATTTTATTCGATTTCTTTGTTTTCTTGGATTTAAATTTATTCATAGTTTGTGTTCATACTGCATTCATATTTCTTGTATTCAAATTTTGTAACACTGAATTCGACGGCGTACGTGATATACGAGTAGGTATCGGTTATAGTGGGGCCTGTAGACATTTGCCAAGCGAACAACTTTCTTGGCAGTTTTGGTAGTGCGATGGGTCACCATCAGTCTGTTCATTGAGAATTACTTATGATACCCAATAAATAAATCAGAAATCTGAGTTTAGCATTGACTTTTTTTACTATGCACTCACTAGTAAATTAATTTAAACAAATAAAAAAATAAGAAATTTTTTCAATAAGAAATAAATTGCAGAAAATTTAATAAATTTCTTTCTTTTTTATTTAACCCAGGAAAAAGAAAATGGAAAGAGAAATATTATACAAATAAGCGTGTTTAATGCAAAGAAAACCCCGGGAAAAAATCTGCCATACCTATGAAAATATTGCAAAAAAATATTTGCATAAATAAATACTATACAAATAAGCGTATTTAATTAAAAAAATCCGGGAAAGAACTAGAAATACGTTTAAAAAATATTGTAAAATATTTGAGTAAATAAATATTGTACAAACATTTCCGTTTGCACAGGTGCTGAACCTGAACAACTGCGCCCAGGTGACGGACCTGGGCATCCAGCAGATCGGGAAGCAGTGCCCCGAATTAGAGTACATCTCTCTGTCCAACTGCCTGCGCATCAGCGACGACGCCCTCGTAGCTTTATCCCACGGCTGCCCCAAATTGCAGTGCGTGGAATTATCCGGCTGCAACCAACTGACGGACGCCGGGTTCGCCGCCCTCCTGCGCATGTGCCCGGATCTGCACTGTCTGGACATGGAGGAGTGCCTGCACATCACCGACTCCACGCTGAGCCACATCGCCGCCAGCTGCCATAAAATGGAGCGACTGTGTCTTTCCCATTGTGAATTGTTGTCGGACGAGGGCATCCAGAGTCTGGCGCGCAGTCCGGCGGCGCAGAACGGGTACCTGAAGGTGCTGGAGCTGGATAACTGCCCGCTGGTGACGGATGCGGCGCTGGATGCGTTGAGGGAGTGTCTCAGTCTGCAGCGCATCGATCTCTACGACTGCCAGCAGGTTAGCCGCGGTTGTTATTTGATTTCATCTGCGGGGCACATTTAATTATTATTTACTGTAATTATGATTTATTGTTTATTATAGTTATTGTTTTATCGTTATCAAACGAATTGATTTCGTATGGCTTTTCAGAGACGCATTGGTTCGGGGCATATTGTTTCTCTAGAGGCCCGTTTATTTTTGTTGAGAGATTAAGCTTGTGAAATATTTTTAAATAATCTATAGTCTTTGTTTGTAATAATTATATTTTTAATAACTATATTGAAATGAATTAATTGTTAATCAATGTTGTTGTATTTTGTTAAACGATTTTCATCTTTTGGTATAGTTTAGGTACGAGCAGCCATTGCATTTTTGCGAATTGATGGCGTTTTCCAGATGAATTATTTTTTATGTTCTCGAATTATTTGGAATTGTGATTAATTAGTTACGAGTGTAATGAGCGCCTGCAACATGTGCATCCATGTTCAGTGGGTTTTTTATTTTTAGTCTTAATCTTTACGTGTTTGTCGTTGAGTCGTTCTTATATGAAATAAAATTTCTTGAAAATAGAAATCAGATGAATTAACGAGTAAAAATGCGAGGGAGGCAGCAGGTTTAAAGCGGCTAAAATGAATGTGTCTTCAGCGTTGGATGGAAAACTGAAAACAGTCGTAGTATAACGGCTGACCTGAAGACACCTGTTCTCTTGCGAGAAACGGCGTCTCCTGGTCAGGCTGGTACACTACGACTGCTGTTTGTTTGGCTATCCACCGCTCTCTTGCCGTTTAAATGGATCAGTGTCTCGCAGTTAAACAGTTTATTTCGTGTTTATTGTAGTCTTTTTTTCCGGGCATGCAGTTAAAATTACTTTGCTTTATTTTGTAGTGCAATTTAATTTTCTTGTATAACTAATTTAGTTAATTTAGCACCCGTAGTGTCCGGTTGTGCCCTGAAAAACACGAAATAAAGCTGTAGAACAATTTCTGCTGTAATTTAATTGTACAGATTTTGAAATGCAATTCCCGATTTCTGTTGATAATCAAATTTAATCAGTTTAACTAGTTATACTGGCAACTGGAATTTCTAATGGAGTTTACATTTTAGAAGACGAGGTACAGTATTTGAATTTCTGGTTGTGACGTGTGCGCAGGTGACGCGGGGCGGGATCCGGCGCCTGAAGAGCAGTCTGCGCGGCGCCAACATCCACGCCTACTTCGCGCCCATCACCCCGCCGCCCAACGCGGCGGGTCCGCGGCAGCGCATCTGTCGCTGCTGCGCGATTCTGTGACCGACGAATCCTTACCTGTTTGGCGCTGTCGTTCCTCTTTTTACTGGGGAGCGGTGAAATTTGGATCTTCCCGGCAGGAAAGCGGAGGATTATTGAAGCGGTGCTTTCTGTGTTGTAAGCGGGGGTCGGTGGAGTTTTTGTATAGAATTTCTTTCAACCGTGTTAGTTTTCAGAATGTTGATTGTTTGTTTTTTGTTTTGACTGTTTTAATTCTTCAACCCGAAGTCTCGTCGCGGTGGACGCTTAATCAAGCGTGTCTGGAAATATGCTTTCTCGGTTGTAATCTGCTGGTTGGTTCAGTTTTGCCGGTTTTCTTGATTTTAGCTGCTCGTGTTAACGGTTGCCGCGTTCGGCGTTGCGTTGCTGGTTTTTAATTTCCATGTGTTTTTGATTATGTTTTACAATTTTCAGATTTTAGAAATAAATTATACTGAATGAAATCTGGACGAGGCTTTATTAAACGGCTACGCTAATATTTGCACAATATGTACAAAGTACATACGTACAATATTATATAGTATATAAAGTTTTATTTGTACATTAGATTTGAGGGCGCATTAATTGCTATTATTTTGTACATTACAATACTGTACAGTACATTACAATTCACATTACTTTGTAGTCTGTACATCAGATTTCATCCGTACAAAGTGAGTTTTGTTTAAAAATAACACAGTCAAATGAAGAACGCGTCCCAATTAGCACGAGACATGGCTGTGCATCGTAAATTTAAACCAGATTACGAGTATAACAACATCCCGTGTAACACTGCAAAATAATGTCGCCGATACTTGTACATTTATTAAGGCTGCTTTGCAATACAATGGTTCATACTTCATACTTAGTATTATTCGTATGCTAAATACAGTGCTAGTACGGCTCGGTAAATCAACGGATTTAATCGTAAACACTACCCGTGTTAGGTACTATCCGTGTTATTTTCGAAGATATTACAGCCTGTTGAGGACCAATTCCAGTATTACTCGTACTACTCGTATGCATTCATTTGTGCCTCTAGTACAGTTAATTGATAATAAAAGCAATAAGCAGTTTTCGTGGAGCGGCTTTAACACCAATGAGTGTTGTATACCTAATTTTTTTGTAAAAACATCAGAAAAGTTTTGTAGGTCCGATTCCGGCCAGTTAGCATTAGCAACTTGATAACATGTCATGTGTATAATTCCGTTGGTCTTTATTACTTTTACGTCGCGACATAACAGTCATGAGTCAAATCACTACGGCCGGCATTACCCACTCAAGAATTGTCATGTGTATTGTAGTGTACTGGCTTCAGAGGGCGGCACCTCAGAGCTGCGAGTTAAGACGTATTCGCTTTATAACAGTGTACCATGTACCGTTAATTACTGTAATGCTTTCGAATTTCTTTTTTCCATATTTCAGTAATTTCGTTATTCGCATTATTCACTACCCATAGTGTTTTCTAAAAATTACTAATAATCGTACGTACTGACACGAGTAGATTTGTGGAAATGGGTAACTACTAAACGTCCCATAAGTGTAATAAAAGTAATTTTGTACCTAGAATTACCATTCGTGAAAATGAGAATAGCTACGCTGACCAGCAGCCCGGCAACGATACTGGACAATAATGCAAAAGCCAGCCGATAACGAAACCCCTGGATTAATAATACTATTTGAAGATGCAAGTACAATATTCGAGCGTACCAACGTACTGTATAGTGTATACTATACGCTTCATTAAGGCTTCCATAAAAAACCGAATATGAAACGTTTTCCGAACACGCACGGCATTTTTCGTACCGAAGCAGTTGATTGTCTGCTTCAACGCTGAAGAGAGAAAAGCTACAAACCGACTTCAGGAGCCGCACATGTACAGTTTATTCGCACCCTGCACCCCGGCCCAAGGTATTCGGTTTCGGTCTTCGGTGCCTTCGGTAGTAGCAGTCAATTCGCCGACCTACGTTTCGCTGCCCGACAATTTGCTGACCGACATGATGCTGACTTACACAACTCGCTGACCGACAAATTGTTGACCGACAATTTGCTTACTGCTAAATTGTTGACCGACGTTTTGTCGAAACATTTTTGCTGACCGACAACTTGCTTTTCGGTTCGACGCGCTGATTTTTGAATTTTCTCAACTTTTTGTTGTTTTTTTCTTAGGTTTCTTAGGTTTCTTAGGGTTCTTAGTTTTCTTAGGTTCCTTAGGTTTTTTGGGTTTCTCACGTCAGCAGAATGTCTCAGCAAGTTGTCGGTGTTCAGCGAGATGTCGTTCAGCGAGTTGTCGTTTCAACAAACTGTCGGGTCATCATTTCGTCGGTCAGCAAAAAGTCGCCACTCGCCAGCAAATTGTCGGTCAGCAGAATAGTGGTCAGCGAGTTGTCGGTGTGCCGTATCGGTAGCATCGAGCTTGTGTATCAGCCGGCAAAAGCAGTGTGCAGCAAAACGTCAGCGGAACTAGTTTTGAGGAAAACGTAAAAGCTAAAACTTCAGATGCAGATTCAAGGAGAACAACAAACGGCATAACATCAACCACCTTGGGTGTATCGCGCGGGCTCTGCTGACCTACAGTCTACGGTCCACGGACGATCAGGAAACACGTACGCACGTACGAATACTCTGTTTCAGAATGCCAAGACTGTCCACGTATTCTGTTCCTACATTCGCAGTGCACGCTGCGGTCCTGCGTGACTTTTAAAGGGTACATCATGCCGCTGGTAGACTGTTCAGATATTCCCCTGCTTGCAAATATTCGCCAAATTCACAATCGCGCCAAGCCGCCGCCAACTACGATCGCAGTGAAGTAGTAAAGGTTAGTAAGGTAACAGCAACTTCGTCAAACACGTCTTGACGGCGGCCTACAGTAGTTGTTCGTTTCTAACTTAAATATGAACAAACGCCAGCGTGAGAAAAAGATACTCGGTACTTTTTACAATGTACACGTGCATCTCCTACATTGTTTCTCGAGTTCTAAGCGAACAAATCTACAAAGAACGAGTACTTTGCTGCCATTATGGGCCTTTTCGTGCGCCTTCAACTGCCTTGAGAAAACCGTTTTCACGCAGAAGCTGCCACGTACCGATACTCGTTACATCATTAATATTAGTTATGTCTTTTGGTTATTTGTGATTGTCGCATATTCTTAAATGGTTGTACGAGTATAATTAATGATGTTTTATTTGTACAATGTGTAATACATAAATAACTAACTTTTCGTAATTCGTTGACCTTCCATTAGCCTGACATGAAATTTCTGCTATTTATTTATGCTCCATATCCTTTTGTTTTAGAAATCACCCTCTATTAAATCAGTAAGGTCACTGAAGCCGAAAGACATAGTTTTTTAAATTTTTTTTCATGACAGTGCATCGCATAATTACGAAGCTAAATACAAAAATGAAGTTTAAAGGAAAAAGGAAGTGTCATAAGCTTCTTAAACACAATAACGCCAAGGACAGTACTCGTATTGGCATTTTGTAAAAATTGTAACGTCACGTCTGCTTCATTTCTAGGTCTGGTTACGATTTACGAAAGAAAATCAGATATACTCGCCGCAATAAAAATATTTCGAGAGAGGCAGCTAAAATGTGCTCATGTGTGCGAAAAGCGGTGGAAAGTCAAAGCAGAAAGCAGTCGTAGTGTAGCGGCTGACCAGTATGGTGAGCGCTGCGACAGTGTGGACGGGCGGGTTTGTATGGACGTGATGCAGCTGACAGCAGTGATTGCCGGCAATAGACTGCAGTTGGACAGCAAAGTGCACTTCTGTGTCCGCGCTCCGCTGCAACAGGTTCATGGAAACCCGCACGTCCACGCTGTCGCAGCGCTCACCGTACTGGTCAGCCTCTACACTACGACTGCTTTCTGCTGGGCTTTTGACACTTTGAGATGCATATTTTAATCTGTCCAGTACTTATTCCACTAATTAAATTACTTATCTCCTGGTGTTAGATCGGATCGGTATAAGAGACCTTTGCCGGATGGAAGATTGCCACTTATGCGGTTATGCCACTAAATCGATCGATGTACGAAATGAGAGAATGTGAAGCATTCGTTAGTTAACCGGTAGTTCCCAAAATATGTTTTTGCGCGGTTTGATACGTTTGAGACGTTCCACACGTGACGATTGCTTTCAGTTTCTTGGCTGACAGCTGGCAGAATGCCTCCGTGGATGAAATACGCTGCGGTCTATTTGATTCCATTTACATGATGCGGTAGGGTCGCTTTTGCCGCTCGACATCTTCGGCTTAGTGCACACGCAGGTAATCGCTGTGGCAATCCGGGAATGCCTAAGCGATCGCACCACTATGAAACCACAGAATTACAACATGCTTTTGCTGTTTGAGTTGTTCCTTTCCAATTGGAATGAACATCGGTGGCGAAATCAGATTTTGCTAATATGCCATATCTAGCTATTATTACCTTCTATCGTACAACAATCGCTCATTTAGAACCCAACACGTTCACTGATTTGCCCAAACTCCGCCTGCTGTCTTTGGACGCCACTTTCAACAACGTTTTATCTCATAATTCCGACAAGAACATTATCGATTACATCGCGCGACTGCACTGCAGTTTTGAATTCGCTTGGTTTCGAGAACGGTGGAAATCTAACAAATAACAAACTGTTTAAGCACCGGGTTAATGAAGACGAAATTTTTTTGTTTCGGAAGGCGTACGGACATAAAGCGTATGAGAAACGTGACATTTATCTGCCCGTCAACTGTCGAGAAATAAGTTCCAGATCCAACGCGCTAACCATCAATCACAGTCAGGAAGAAATCTCCATCAACGAGCCAGCATGTCATATGTGGGATGCGCGATAAAATGACCGTCTTCTTATTTTTCTGTTTTAATTCACTACCATACGGTTCGTTCTTACGATTAGTACGTATGTACTCTTGGCTGGAAATTGGGGAAACAGTTACTGTAGCGCCTCTTTTCTGTGGATCACACTCTGAACTCCTCAAAGGTGTTTTTTGCATACTCAGTGCTTGGACGCACGGTGCAGCCTGGAGTCTCGGGAAGTTGTTCACACATCGCAAGAAAATCATGCCATGGAAGACGTTTCACAATATGTTACGTGGAATCTCCGTGTCTGCGGCAAACGAGATGCTGCGCGCACAGACGGCTTCACTTTTCCCTCACGTGTATCATGTACAATCATTAATTCGGCTACACAGTGTCAGAAAAATAAAAAGTGTTGGAAGCCCGATGCAAATTGTTATACGTACCTAATAAAAGAGCTGGATAGTAAGTACTCGATAAAAGAAAGAGTAAGTACTTTGCTCGACGAAAAGCCGTTTGTATGCGTGCGGTACATACAACATTGAATATATATATGCAGATACGTCAACCCAGAATAAGTTCTGTTGCGTATTTTTCCGATTGCACGACAATATTATACTACAAACTATAGTAGCTACAAGTTCCGTATTCCTTTCTCGGTAGAGCGTCGGAACAATAATTAAAACAGCTCAACGGGAGGCTGGTTAGCCAGCCCAGCAAAGCACGAGACGTAATTATGCGCATAATAACACTCTCGTCGCAAACGTGACTGAGTTTTAAAGCAGTTCCTGCATGTATTTATGTTTTTCTTGTACCTGCTCAAACTTTATCGATTATAAAGTAAAGCATTCGGAAAACACACCGGTTTTACCGCATTGACGCTCCTTCATCGTAGTCTTCAGTCGCTGGATAAGCAACTCAGCATAATTGTGTGCTCAGTTCCGGCTGCGTTAGTGTAACACGCACAACACAAAAATGGCAGCGGAAACGTTAAGCAGTTGGCTGCGGTGCGGATTCACTCTGGTCATGGTCCTCCATGATTCTTCTTTAGCCGGAACGCTGCCAGATAGTATGTAAACAATATTTCCAGATTTCCTATCTTGCCGGCTTTCATCAGTGCTTTTTGGAAGAATGTTATCGGTACATTTACCATTATTTTTGCAGACTGGAGAGAGTACGTTGATGTCGCTGCATTGACAGCGGATAACGACCAATCACGATACAGCAGCGACTTTTGGGAGGGTGACATTGCGGGATTTGATTCTGAAGAGGTAATTAGTGTTGACCATTATCCATTTTTGCCGATATAAGAATAATGCGTAGTGCATGCTCGTCGTTGTCGCAGATGGAAGGAAATTCTGCCGCTAACGCGGTCAACGACGACAATTTGTTGTGGCCTAACAATACGATCCCTATGAATTCACCACGCAGCTTTCGGCAACGTTTAGTAAATCATAAATAACAATCTAACTATCGTCCCATTTAGCCAATTTTTAAGTAGCCCCGATGAATCGTGGTGGATTAAGTAATAATTTTAGGGGCGTCAGAAAAGAAGATGGTTGAGGAAGCGATGGGCATCATTATGCATCTCACCGACAACTGTGTGAAATTTGTGGCCCGCACCCACGAAAGTGACTACGTTAAATTCCAGAAAAGTTCCCAGTGAGCTACAGTCTTCGTAACTATTGTTACCGGAAATGGTCCGGAATGTAGACGGATTTACGGTTCTGTAAGACTGTAAGTCATGTGTAAGCCGGCGTCAGTGCAATAAAAGCACGCTTGTTGCAGATGTTCGTGGAATATCGGTCGCATTGGACGGAGACAGCTGATACAACTGACGTCGGGTTGTATCCTTCATTACGGCTGCATCCAGCACGAACTGATGCACACGTTGGGTTTCTATCACGAACAGTCGCGACTCGATCGGGATGACTATGTTCTCATCAACTGGGACAACATCGCGACAGGTGTGCAATTTTTACGATGGATGTAGTGGTAGCATGTTAGCAAACTATCAAGTAAAATGATTACCGGTTGTATTTCGCAGAGGATAAAGGTCAATTTGAGAAGCGTACAGGGAAGACGTATGGTCTCCCTTACGATTACCAGTCGGTTATGCATTACGAACTGAAAGCCTTCGCCAAAGACCCAAATTTCCCGACCCTTATACCGAAAGTGAAAGGAATGAAAATGGGACAGAATGAGAATCTGACTCCACTGGATTTAGCCAGGATTTACAAGCGTTTCAACTGCAATGTGCCCACTGGTAGACAATTCGTGTCAAAGCTGGGAGAATGTCGAGATTCCGCCACATTGGCGTCCACGACTTCAGGTTTGTCTGTTATGCTTTCGGCAATTACCGCTTTGCTAATCCATCGTCACGCTGCGTACTGTGTACGGTTTTGTCCAGTGTTGTGTCGTGGATATGAAACGTATGAAAAGAAGAAAAGCAGGCAAAGCGGAATACACGAATTGATCACATAACCCTTAGGCGATCAAGACATTACTGCCAGCACTGCAAGGTCAACCAGAAAAACACAGCAGGAATTTCGGACCACACCGATCAGTGATGCGACGCCTTTACTTGTATCTCCTAGTGTCCCAAAACAACTTCAAGGTGACTTTCCTGTATATGTTTTATACGGCGTAGTTTAACGTATGTATTCAGTACGAGCATGCTTTAATACATGCTTAGATATGTATTTACAGACATTCGTGACCGGCGCTTTGATCCGGATGGATACGTCTACTCAGTGCCGATTCGGCCTGAGGTGGCTTGGACGACTGAACAGTGTAACAGACAGCGCTCGGATCATTGCACTCCTTGGTTCTTCGGGTCTGATTGCAATCCTGCAAATCTATACTACGAGTTCACTTGTTACAGAGCAACCACCCAAGTAGAAATGGAGCGAATAATCGAAGCGATGTCCCGCCCACCAGTCCGCTATATACTGGCTCAATTGCCCGATTCTGAGTATTTAACCGACGAACTCTTGCAACCCGTTGCCGAACAGATTATTCAATTCGCGTTTTCCTATCTAAATACCACACGAGCCACAGACAAACTTCGCGATATGAAGCTGACCAATATGCTAGAATTTCAAGGATCGTACTGTATGGAGGATTTGGTTATTCGACGAACGGATTTCACCACATCGCTGAAACTTCGAATACTTGGTTTCTTTAGATGCGGTATTGCATCACTGGAAGCCGACAGTTTTTCCTATCTGGAGGATCTTCGTGTTGTCACCCTGGACATGTTCAATTTGGTGGACTTTTCTCAAAAGAAGCGCATTTATTGTGATCGGGCGTTTGCATGGTATCGAGCGTGGATATCCGCAAATCCGTATCTGATTCAGAACCGGACAGAGGGGAGCGTGTACAGTGTAACAGGGGGACTGAAAAACATGCCGTACACACAAAATCATCTATTCAGACCAGTCAACTGCAGCGCTTGACCGGTACGGGACAGTCGTACTCGGAGGTTACACTCCCACCGAGAAGATTCATCGGGCGTTCAAGGAAGTTTTACCATTCGTCGACAATGACATTACAGTTGCTGTGGGTTTGTGTATGTAGTGTGCTAGCCTTTTCAAACGAACGTCCATACTCGAAGTAGTCGTTTCCTGTTAAAGAATAATGCGTAGTGCATGCTCGTCGTTGTCGCAGATGGAAGGAAATTCTGCCGCTAACGCGGTCAACGACGACAATTTGTTGTGGCCTAACAATACGATCCCTATGAATTCACCACGCAGCTTTCGGCAACGTTTAGTAAATCATAAATAACAATCTAACTATCGTCCCATTTAGCCAATTTTTAAGTAGCCCCGATGAATCGTGGTGGATTAAGTAATAATTTTAGGGGCGTCAGAAAAGAAGATGGTTGAGGAAGCGATGGGCATCATTATGCATCTCACCGACAACTGTGTGAAATTTGTGGCCCGCACCCACGAAAGTGACTACGTTAAATTCCAGAAAAGTTCCCAGTGAGCTACAGTCTTCGTAACTATTGTTACCGGAAATGGTCCGGAATGTAGACGGATTTACGGTTCTGTAAGACTGTAAGTCATGTGTAAGCCGGCGTCAGTGCAATAAAAGCACGCTTGTTGCAGATGTTCGTGGAATATCGGTCGCATTGGACGGAGACAGCTGATACAACTGACGTCGGGTTGTATCCTTCATTACGGCTGCATCCAGCACGAACTGATGCACACGTTGGGTTTCTATCACGAACAGTCGCGACTCGATCGGGATGACTATGTTCTCATCAACTGGGACAACATCGCGACAGGTGTGCAATTTTACGATGGATGTAGTGGTAGCATGTTAGCAAACTATCAAGTAAAATGATTACCGGTTGTATTTCGCAGAGGATAAAGGTCAATTTGAGAAGCGTACAGGAAGACGTATGGTCTCCCTTACGATTACCAGTCGGTTATGCATTACGAACTGAAAGCCTTCGCCAAAGACCCAAATTTCCCGACCCTTATACCGAAAGTGAAAGGAATGAAAATGGGACAGAATGAGAATCTGACTCCACTGGATTTAGCCAGGATTTACAAGCGTTTCAACTGCAATGTGCCCACTGGTAGACAATTCGTGTCAAAGCTGGGAGAATGTCGAGATTCCGCCACATTGGCGTCCACGACTTCAGGTTTGTCTGTTATGCTTTCGGCAATTACCGCTTTGCTAATCCATCGTCACGCTGCGTACTGTGTACGGTTTTGTCCAGTGTTGTGTCGTGGATATGAAACGTATGAAAAGAAGAAAAGCAGGCAAAGCGGAATACACGAATTGATCACATAACCCTTAGGCGATCAAGACATTACTGCCAGCACTGCAAGGTCAACCAGAAAAACACAGCAGGAATTTCGGACCACACCGATCAGTGATGCGACGCCTTTACTTGTATCTCCTAGTGTCCCAAAACAACTTCAAGGTGACTTTCCTGTATATGTTTTATACGGCGTAGTTTAACGTATGTATTCAGTACGAGCATGCTTTAATACATGCTTAGATATGTATTTACAGACATTCGTGACCGGCGCTTTGATCCGGATGGATACGTCTACTCAGTGCCGATTCGGCCTGAGGTGGCTTGGACGACTGAACAGTGTAACAGACAGCGCTCGGATCATTGCACTCCTTGGTTCTTCGGGTCTGATTGCAATCCTGCAAATCTATACTACGAGTTCACTTGTTACAGAGCAACCACCCAAGTAGAAATGGAGCGAATAATCGAAGCGATGTCCCGCCCACCAGTCCGCTATATACTGGCTCAATTGCCCGATTCTGAGTATTTAACCGACGAACTCTTGCAACCCGTTGCCGAACAGATTATTCAATTCGCGTTTTCCTATCTAAATACCACACGAGCCACAGACAAACTTCGCGATATGAAGCTGACCAATATGCTAGAATTTCAAGGATCGTACTGTATGGAGGATTTGGTTATTCGACGAACGGATTTCACCACATCGCTGAAACTTCGAATACTTGGTTTCTTTAGATGCGGTATTGCATCACTGGAAGCCGACAGTTTTTCCTATCTGGAGGATCTTCGTGTTGTCACCCTGGACATGTTCAATTTGGTGGACTTTTCTCAAAAGAAGCGCATTTATTGTGATCGGGCGTTTGCATGGTATCGAGCGTGGATATCCGCAAATCCGTATCTGATTCAGAACCGGACAGAGGGGAGACGTGTACAGTGTAACAGGGGGACTGAAAAACATGCCGTACACACAAAATCATCTATTCAGACCAGTCAACTGCAGCGCTTGACCGGTACGGGACAGTCGTACTCGGAGGTTACACTCCCACCGAGAAGATTCATCGGGCGTTCAAGGAAGTTTTACCATTCGTCGACAATGACATTACAGTTGCTGTGGGTTTGTGTATGTAGTGTGCTAGCCTTTTCAAACGAACGTCCATACTCGAAGTAGTCGTTTCCTGTTATTTGTTCACCGTGTTTCTTTGCCCATGGAGCTGGCAGAAGAGCTGAACTCGTTATGCATTCATCTTCGAAAGTCTTTCGTTTTAACTCTTGAAGTTTCTGAGTGCGCTTTGTTTATGGCTGTCCTGGACTAGCTCTATGTTTACGAAAGCCGATCCTCACTCCCTAGCACAACTGTTTTTGCAGAGATACCTGGTTAGAGGCTGACAAGTTTAAGGTACTGGACAAGAAAGGGACGACTCGCTATTGCCAATGAACTGGTCGTGAGCGGCTAATTAACTGGGTGTATCGGAAGACGGTACTAGAGCAACGGACAAAACAAGCCATCCTCATGGGATCATTGGCTTTGGTTCATCAATTTTTGTATTAATCCGAAGGCCTAAACCCACTACTAACTGAAGCCGCAGAACAGGGACCACATCCTGTAACTTTTCCAGACACTAAATTCTTGTGGCGAAGAACACTTTCACACGGCAGAACACTACTATGCGTACAAGTAGTAACAGATTTAGGCATGCGGGGCAGCGGGAGTCACGTATTTCGTAAAAAAATGGGCGACGGCCAAAATTTCCTTGATAACTTTGTTCGGATATAGGATATTCATCGTAATTAATGAGTGTGGCCTGTACAGACAGAAATACTTGTAGTACTTAATCGTCTGGTGGCTTAATTACGGCATACACCGTAGCCCTTACTTTCCTCACTCCATAATAATTATGTTGAACAAGCGCAATAATGTTCCGAAAAAATACGAAAACTACGTTAACTAAATTTAAATTTTTCTTGTACCCGTATACCGTGTATACGGGTACAAGTACTTCAATGTGTTTTCCACCTTCACATTATGGAGCCGTGTGCCGGGCAGCAGAGACACGGTACCCTCTGCGTTACTCCGCATAACAAAAGTGATGGATTTATTGATCTTGTGTACAAGCTTGTATAAAAATATTAATAATCACGTAATCGATTTTTGAAAAGTTTTTGCCATGTGAAACAGCGCAGGCAGGGACTTCTACACCTCATCATAGGTAGAACAAAGAAAACATCATTACGACCGCCAGAACGTAGTACGAACTGAACCTGTACATACCCGTACTGGTCAATTAATTATATTAAAACATTTCCTTTTTTTACGATAGATTCTATTAGCGATGACGGACAAAGTCACAAACGCTTACAACAGTGGGCTGGTCAACCGTCAACGACCACGTAACAACCTATTAATGCTAGCATGTTACCAAGCACTGCAGTTTTGTTAAAAAGTGCAAAAGAAGAAAGCGGTACCTGTTATGAAGTTAAATTGCCGTTTTACTTTCCGCATTAACTGCAACATGGACGCACACGAAAACAAAAGCCATAAGTTTCCATACTCGCGTTATACTTATATATGGATTATTCGTTTCCCATGCATACATATGGGGCGTTAAAGGTATTATTTTAAACCAGCTTCCCGATGGGCTAATAAGCATGCACAACAATGTGCAAAACATAATTATGCGCATAATTAGCAGTCACGTCGCGAATGCTTATTGTTAAGTTTAAAGCAGTTTGGGAGGGTCCTTATAATTACAGTTCTTAAAGTTAGGTTTTGCTTCAACCTGGTTGCTCAAGCTGCACCGTTTTTTAAACGAAAGCAGTCAGAATATATGTATACCGGTTGAGCAGCACTGACGCTCCTAGTAGCCTTGGATAGGTGGGCAAGCAATTCCGAAGAACTTAATGCGCGCACAGCCCCGGTGTGTCCGTACCACAGAAACGACAGAATAATGAAAGCGGACAGGTCGAAAACTTGGTTACAATGCGGAATCACTATACTCACGGTCCTCCATGATTATTCTTTAGCCCGAACGCTGCCAGACAGTATGTGAACCATCTCGCCTGCTGCCGCCAAAAATTTTTGCAAGCATGTTGTTACGCCAATTACCATTATTTTTAAAACTTTTGCAGACTGGAGAGAATACGTTGATGTCGATGCGCTGACAGCGGATAACGACCAATCACGATACAGCAGCGACTTTTGGGAGGGTGACATTGCTGGATTTGATTCAGAAGAGGTAATTGGTGTTGACGGTTTTCCCTTTTTGCCGGTATGCAAGAATAATCCGCACTCGTTGTTGTCGCAGATGGTAAGAAAGTCAGCCGCCAACGCGGCCAACGACGACAATCTGTTGTGGTCTAACAACACGATTCCCTATGAACTCACCACGCAGCGCTCGGCAACATTCAGTAACCCAATAAAATGTTGTCGAATAACCTCCATTTTAGAAGCCTCGGAGAAGAAAATGATTGAGGAAGCGATGGACATCATCATGCATCTCACCGGCAGTTGTGTAAAGTTCGTGCCCCGCACCCACGAAACTGACTATGTTAAATTCCAGAAAAGTTTTCAATGAGCTACAGTACAGCCTTCGTAAAATCGTTACCGGAATATTTACGGTTGTGTGAGTTATGTGTAAGCCGGCGTCAGAATAACAAGAATACGCTTCTTGTAGATGCTCGTCGAATATCGGTCGCCTTGGACAGAGGCAGCTGATACAACTGACGTCGGGTTGCATCCTTCGCTACGGCTGCATCCAGCACGAACTGATGCACACGCTGGGTTTCTTTCACGAACAGTCCCGCCTCGATCGGGATGACTATGTTCTCATCAACTGGGACAACATCGCGACAGGTGTACAATTTTTACGATGTTGTGTTAGTATGTAAACTATCAAGTAAAATGATTACTGGCTGCATTTTGCAGAGGATAAAGGTCAGTTTGAGAAGCGTACAGGAATGACATATGGTCTTCCCTACGACTACCAGTCGGTTATGCATTACGAACTGAAAGCCTTCGCCAAAGACCCAAATTTTCCAACCCTTATACCGAAAGTGAGGGGAA